TCCTCTTTCATCTTAGATGCTTTCAGTGGAGATCAAATATAGCCCAAGTTTCCTTGTTGTAAATATAGATAGACCCTGAGCCCCAAAGTGCTGTACTATTATCTGTTTCCTCCAATAATGCAGCAAATGCAGACCTACTAATAGAGCAAGAAGTATTCCCACAGAGGCCCCAGTATTCCAGCAGAGGCAAACTTTTTGCTACCTTCCTTAGGAAGAAGGAAAGACAGCATCCTAGTCAATCTCCATGAAAACAGTTTGCATGACTTGTGAGCAGCCCACCTGGAGCCTCTTAAGATTTCAAGTCTGCGAAAAGGGAAGTCTGGATTCTGCTCCAGAAATTTCTGAAGGTCAGAAAAAACAGAAAACCCCTGAGAATAAGAACAACAGCAAAAGATAGAATGAATGGGCAGATGGTCAGAAAAACACTGGAGGACAAACTTAGTATCAGGATCAAACACTTATTAGCTTTTTGTAAATTGATAATAAGGTATTTTAGACTCATCTGATCTATAATCCTATGGGTCAGGTCCTTACAGGTAAAACGCTGGCTTTTCTACACTAGATCTGGTCCTTAGATGGTGTAAAGTTTGTTCACGTCAGCACAGATCCCAGGGGGACATTTCTTTGGTGAGAGGTGGCTAAGAATTCCACAGCAGCTATCCTGAGTCTGACCCTGCTTCATCAAATTCAACATATAGCTAAAACATACAGAAAACATGTATCAGCTATTGTGTACCAAGCTCCTTACAACCAGATATGTCCTTTGATGTGGAACCATGGTTTTCAATCCTGTTTTTAAGGTAAGAACATTTTCTAACAACTTATTTATAGTCAGAGGTTATATCTCGTATTTGTGAAATACTGAGGTTATCCGTACATGTGTGCTACTCAAATTGATTTAAAAAAATCTCATTGGTTTGTGTACACATATACACCTGTCCTTTATGTATGTAAATTTTTTTATGAATAGAGCATTTTTTAAAAAATCATAACTTCTTTGAAACACACTTACAAGTTTTAAGAGATGCCATGGTCATATGATAAACAATGGCTAAATTAGGAATTCTTAAAGTAGCAGAATGGCAGTAATAAATAGATCAAAGACTTCCCTATGGTAATATCCATATGATTAATAAACAACAATATTTCCTATCCTGTAATGCATGTCATGGTTCTGATATATAAGGTTTCACATTTTTTGCCTGCACACAGGCACGCACAGGCTCACAGAGCAGATGTGAAAGTCACAAGTCTCTAATGTAATTCATGCTCCAGTTCAGCAACTGTGAGGGTATGCTGAAGACAACGCTGTGACTAACATGGACAAGAAATTCCTGAGAGAATAAGAATGACTGTTAACAGTTCTGAGAAACTCTTCCTCTGGGTTATTATCCCATAGAGAGAGATAGTGGGTTTTAACGGTCTTAACCAAACAAACAGCTCTGAGAAACTAGACATATTCCCTCTGAGATTACAGTGAATGAAAAACAAAAAACCATCTTATGTTAAAAGTGGTTTGAAGCATTCATGATACTCTCAGTGAAGTACTTGGACTTCTTCCTGCTTTGTGCATCAGGTCAGAGTTTCCATACTCCCAAAGGAAACTAAACATTGGCTGAAAAAAAGAGAAAGTCCCATTTACCCTTACTGTTATCTTTTCACAGCTGGCTTGATTGAACAGGGGTGAGGCATGGGCACATGTAGTGACCATTACAGCAACCAGAAAACAATGCAGTAGCAACTCAAACAGGTGCACCTGTTTAAATGATTTACATCTGGGACACTGCTCACACACATCAAAGTAACTGAAAGGGAAGTTGCTTGAAAACTCTATGTTCTTGTAGCATTCTCCATCTCCTTAAGGTAGCTGGCAAGTGAAAGATGTGATCCAGTCCCAGGGCACTGAAAGCCAGAAATAAAGTAAAACACTACCTAACTAATGGCTTAAGATCATTTCAAGATTTCAGAAATGTCAGCCTCCTTTTTTCTCACACCACCTACTTACATTGCCTAAAGCAACTCTGCTGTCCTAACACAGGTTAAACACACAAAGAAACACTATCTTATATACATGAAGTAACGAGCAGTAACTATTTCTTCAACTGCCTCTCATGCAATTCAAGCTGTATCAAAGCAAATCAAGTTAACAGGGTAGATGGGGAGAAGAAAGATAGTTTTGTGACTAAGAAGCATGGCTACAACTCAACTGTTGGTACTCCCACAGATTTGCCAGCTCAGTCTTCTGTGCTCCTTTTGTCTTTGAAAAAATAACAGCAGTAAAAATATTTCTAGTATTTAGGTTTTCTGCGTTACGTTTCCTAGTGTGCTGAGACAGTGATTGGCACAATCAAGCACTGGTTGCAGACTGAAGTTCATTACTGGTGCATTACTGTGGCACTCTATTTGCTGGTACATAGCATCAGAGCATCCCTTAAGACAACATTTGATAGCATCACTCATCTATCTGCGTTGTCATACAGTCCAGATGGTTGCGATATGTAGGCAACTGGGAACCAGAGCAGCAGGAGTACATCCTGCTGCAATTTTCCCTCTGGTGCTAATCTTGATGCATTTAGATCAGTCTGTTGGTTAGAAAGTCTACAGCTCTGGCTTGATGCACCCAAAGACCTAGCAAACTAAATAAACTGGAGCAGCTGCACTCAGTAGCTTGCCAACTATCAAATGACCAGATTTGCCCACAAAAACTCAGTAAAAGATTACTGCAGCTCAGCTGAGTGACAATCCCCTACCATGCAGCGTGAATTTTCTTTTGAACTCCACAAGGATGGCATTGTTGCAAATGGGTCTGTTATTAAAGATCAACTCAGAAATCTGTGTACTTGAGCAGATTAACTATTACTATGATGTACAAAGCCAGAGGCAAAGAGGAAACAAGACTTATTCCATTTGGCAAATGCAATTTTATTTCTGGATTAGTTGTAAGAATTAAAATTTTAAACATTCTATCATGTGTACCCTGCCAGACGCATTAATTGGCATACTGCAACAATACTGCAAATGAAGAAAGTCAACATAATTAATCATCTCTGTATAAGTACAGAGTTCTCAGGAACATAACAGTTATTTTTCTGTGTTACAGAAAGGAGGGTTTCCAAACTTTGAAGAGGCGAGACTTCAGTGGGAATTTGATAAGCCAAAAAACTATAAACTGGCTTTCATTAGTCCAGGTAAGAAGAATCTAAACACAATATGAAAAACAGAACACAAACTGACAGATACAAGAAGGAAGGAAGACAAAGACATTTCTAAGGAGGTATCTTGATAAAATAAAGAAATTACTGAGTCTGTGACTGTAACCATACTTAGTTAAAGCCAGGTTAGTATAGATTTTATAGTCTTGAGGAATTTACTCAAACAGAAGATATAGTCACCAAGAGCAAAATGTTACACTTGCTGACTTCCTGTACAGTTTAGTCACGTATATAGCCTCACTGACAACAAAGTACATAGCTGCAAACTGTGAATCACACCCAAATTTTCCACCCATGACTATATGAGGGAGTAATTTTTGCCACCAATACAAATACTCAGTGGTATAACTGGACTAATTGCTAGCTATTTACTTTGCTGGTAGAGAAGATTCTTTATACTATATAAGCATCACCAAAATTATTCCTTACGCTAGCACTCATGGTGTTACTGGTTCTTCCACCAGCAGGGTTTTTATAGTCAAAACAACTCACAACTGAGCAACAGAAATGGACACCAAGAGAGCTACAAGAATATGAGTGAGAACAGAAGTTACCTATATACATTCCCATTTCCCCAGGAAAAATCACTATGTGTGGAGTAAAAATATAATCCTTTTCACACCCAAACTGGCCTGTGAACGTGTAATCACAAGTGTTGCATGTGGGAACAGACATCTGTGTTCTATCTTCATTTGTCATTTTGGTGTCTATTTCCAGGAAAATTGGAAGATAATTTTCAAAATTTGGCCCCCAAAAATAGCAAAAAATAGATTGAGTTCTCACAAACCAAACCATACTCACTGGCAGTCCTTCTCAATGATTTTGCAAAAATTTCTTGCTGTATATGTGTAGAATGATTTGAAATTACTCTAATTACCTGAAGAATCTTAAGTCTCTAGTTCAATTTACAGGTCTGATTGCTCATATTTCTTTCAGATAAAGATGCATTTCATGTGGTTATTGATTCCCTATTAATTTATAGAGCAGCAGGTTCCTGCAGGGGAAAGACTTCATTTCTCCAGTATAGCCTTCTTTAGAAGAATGTCCTGCAGGAAAAAAGAGAGATAGTGAAACAGATGCTGTTAGCTGTAGTGCAATTTTTAGTCTTTCTGGTAAGCACAATTTTATATAACTGGATCTCTGTGGCGTCATTTTGATTTGTACTGTAAGTAGTAATTGAGAAGACCACAAATACCCACATGCAACAAGAAATTTTACCTCGGTTCTTCTAGAGATCTATGACTGTTCTTAGAAGTAATTACAGAATAGAGAAACCATACACAGTAAACTGAGTTTGTGACACAAGGATAATTTTGGGACAAACCCATTGTATAGTGACAAATTAACACAGGCAAACTTCAGTGAAAACCAAACAGTCATGAATACTTGTTTACAGGCACACTATCATATAATACAAATGGAAACTTGTTCTTTGGACAAGCCTTAACAAGGAAGTAAAAAGCCACAGCAGTGGTCCACAGATAAGGAAAAAAAAATTAGATTAATCCTACTTCTTTAGGCAGGGCCTATTTATTTTATAGTCTGGCAGATGATAAACGAATTCTGCAGGGGACATCTAAGGGACATTCTGAAGTAGAAACTAAATACTTGTATTTTAATAGGACAGGCATGGCAAAAGCCCAAAGAACACTCCAGCATGCCAGGAACAAAAGCAAGCGTGGCATGCAATGCACAGGCAGGCACATGCTGAAAAAATAACGCAGCCTCACAATGGACAGTCATGTTAACTCAGGTCTGGCTATTCACCATGAGGGAACACTGCAGTGGCTACAGCTGCAGGAGATACCCTTGTCTGTACACGGGTGCACTGCCTTCAAAAACCTTTCTGTGTGTGTTGGGACTGACTGCTGATGAGGGAATAGTAGGGCTAAATATACAGGATATGAAAACAAAAGCAACAGTGACAGTTATTTCCTTGCTTGTTAGTTTATGCACAGGTATTAAACAAAATTTTACAGCAATCTTCAGTTGGTGTTAGTCAGTAAAACTATACTGATTTACAGCAACTAATACTCTAGTATTCTACATAGAACAAGAGTCCGGGTTAACAGTGACTACAAAACTCTCCTCTGCCATTTTACATAGTAATAAGAATATCTTCAAATCTTTTCATTCAGTCAAGCTAGAAAACATTGGTCTTGCTTTTGTAACTCTTTGTCCAAAGTAAAGCAAGTTGTATTGACTTGATACCTCTATCACACTAAGCCATGGATTCTTCTGTTTCACACCTATGCTGATTATCTTTAAAAAAAGGACTCTGTGAACACCACAAATTGCCAAGACACCCAGATCACTTCGCTCTTTTGAAAATTTTACATTTACGTTGGCTTAGACAAGGATAGTGACTGCGATCTAACTAAAAAAACCCAAACAAAACAGAATTAAATGTCTAGTTGTGATGAAGAATGCTTATTGGCATTTGTTTCCTCAAATTATGATTCATGGGACCATAGTAAATGATCCAGACTGAAGTAAGTAATTTCTAAAAAAAAAAAAAAACACCCCCCAAATCCTCAAACTTTAAACCAAAAGTATGAGTGCGTAGTCATGTACAACCAATTCTGAGAATCACCATTTTGAAGAGTCTGGGAACCACTGCTGTAATGTGTGATAGCTACTTATAACTATCAAATTAGCAACCATGTGACGCAGGTTATGTAGTTCACAAGAAGTAAATACTTGAAATACGTCTGATGAAAAAAGCAAACTGTATAGACTATTGTTACTAGCCTTTTAATTCCCAGAGAAAGAAAGCTTATGCACTTACATTTCATCATTGTATTCCTTTGGAGGTGATGCCGCAATGACTAAGTCAATCCAATCCTGAAAAAGAAATGCACAGGCAAACATGTGCTGCTAAATACTGCTTTTAGAGATGGTTAGTGGACCACCATGGAATATCAGATACAGGATCAGGAAGGCAATCTATTCCTGGAAAACCACAGAGAGCAGCAGAAAGATATCTATTAAAGAGTTCTATAGGAAGACCATTTCAAGATCGAGCTTTTTGATTTGTATCCTGAAATTAAAGAAAAATCTACTGGTCTTGCAACGACCTTTTAAAAATCATTTTTCTAAGAATCATCCTGTATTTGGTCATGTTAGCAATTAATACAGTTCTTGCTGAGAAAACTGTAGCTGTAGTGCAGTGTTACTTGTACATTAAGAAATCAAAGATAAGATAATCTATTATCATAAAATTCCAATCAGCTTGCAAGTAATTTTCAACATCAAAGAGAGATTCTACAGATAAATGTACTATAAACACTCAGAATGTAATGTGTTTAAATACTAATCTTGACAAATGACTAAACACCATGAACTTTCACAGTAAATTACATGCATGATTTTCAGAGATGCTATATGCCAATATCTTCTGCAGATTTCAGCTCACTTTGGTAGTATGTGGCATATCTGTCACTTTTGATGTTTGCAACCTTAATTGTGTTGACGTGACAATGTCATGAAAGAAAAGTATACCTCATATGAGCGTTATAGGTAGAATGAAGAAGTATTCCAGGTTACTTACCCCACCCATGTTCCAAGCTTTTGCTAGTGTTGCCTGTGCTTCTGCCAGCCTGCTGTCAATTAATATCTTGCCATTTACAGCTAGTATTTCATCCCCTTTCACTATGCCTCCTGGTGAAAAGACCAATATAGTATACATAAACGTAAGCAAAAAAAATTCTGTGGGTCTTTTCTGTCCTGTTTTATGCAGCAATGAGTATAATGAAAAGTGTCTTCACTAGATGTGAAGGCTTACACTAAAAATTGACATAAACAAGGAACTTTGCTACAGGCAAAAGCTAAAGGAATTTTCAGGCATGGAAAAGCCACACTGATCTCTTATTGATCATGAGCAGTAAGAAACTAGTTCAGTAAGATTTTCCATAGTAGCAGTTTGCCTGTCTGGGTAATCCATGTATACAGTCTACAAACTGGGGTTGATTGTAGGCTGTTACTACTATGAAAATGGCAGCATTACTTAAAAGACCTAAAAGGTATAAGTGGCATTTGTCAAGGGTTTGCAGAACTGTCATTCCTTTGCAAAAGTCTGTGTAATGTTTAGTCCTTAGAACTGATTTTGACTTGCTAATCTGGAATGAAGCACAACCAACTAACTGGGATTGTATTTGAAGAGGGGAAAGCACAGATGGGAAGGGGACAGCCTTAGCTATACAAGACCCTCACTACAGTGAAGAGTCAAAGAGAAGCAGAGTACTTGAGAGATCAAGTGGCTGAGACGTTTTCACAGCAGGAGTGACTTGAAGTTAGGTGCAGGTTGGGACAAGGTCAGCAAAGACAACATAAGGAGATACTGTCCTGTCTGTCTACCTGGTCATTGCCAGAGTTCTCAAGGAAAGGATGGAGATACTGGCCACCAGGAGCAAAGCCTGGACGTGTTGGTATGCACATTCTTCTGCCTTCCAGAGAGCTAAGCTGTTACCCAGAAGGCTCTGGCCTTTAGTGGGATTTTGGGAGTAAAGCCAGGTGTTATACAAAACAAATTACTATTGAAAGTAGCATTAAGAAGAAAACTAAGCAGTGTAGTGTAGCCATGGTCAGGTGATTGCTTTGCACATGGAAGTACTACAAATGTCATTGTTTGGAAATTGTGAAATAATGGAGACCATATGCTGCTTTCCTTAATTAACATAATACACCAGAGAATCAGCTGCTGGTTTTTTTTTTTTATATCAGACCGGAAAAATGGGAGTCCTTATTAATAGAACAGCTCTACATTTTCAGGCCACATAATTGAAAATTCTGTAATGATAGAAATACAGCAGCAATGACCATTTCTTCTTAAACACTATTTATAAATTTTACATCATTATTAATTTAAGCAGCACCCTTCAAACCATGATCCTCTCTCTGAGCTGCCCTTAGAACTGAGACAGAACTTGGCTGCCTTGGACAATCCAAGTGTGCTTCTCAGTACTAGGCATAGCTATGAAGTCAGCCAATAACTCTCAGTCAGCATAAGGAGCCACTCTGCAGCAGCATTCAAATTCCTCATTGTTACTCACCATGTTTGTCTGCAGCACCACCCTCATAGATGGCAGACACAACTATCTTTCCAACTGGAGAATCAATTCCTCCCTCAACTGCGAGGTCTAATGATCCTTCCTATTAAAAAAGAGGTTTAGTTCAGAAAAGGCTGTTAATTTTTGCCATCAACAGGAACTTAATCTTTCCTTCTTCCCAGTAAATGGGACTGTACGTGAAATGCTCACATGAACCCTTTAAATATCAATCAAATAATATAGTATTTACCTTTTTAATTCGTAATAGCCGTACATCTTTTCCCATAATCTGCTCTGGGGTAAACTATGAAAAAGATGTAGTGATTAGTCATTTCCACCTTGGAAACACAAAACAATTAGGCTGATCTATGTAGTTTATGGGAGAAAAGGGACCTTTCCCTCCTCCAAAATAGTGTTAGCAGAGGATCAGAACACCAGATAATCTTTTCCCCTAAGAAAGCTCCTTTTTAACATGACTAGAAAAGACAAATACACAAGCCCCAGCAAACCAACAAGCAAGAATCTTACACCCTTCCAGCCCTCAAAATCAAGGATGCGTTTTTTCTAGTGTATTTCATATTAAACAGTGAGACATATTTGAATTCTCTCCTTACCATTGAATATGGATCAAAATCTTCCAAATATTTCTGGAAGCCCTGAGAATAAAACAATACTTAATTGTGAAAACATTAGACTCATGCACACACTTAATACACAAATTCCATTTTCTTTATTAGTGAGAGAACATGTTAGTCTATAAGCTATGAAAGAAGACAGTAAATGGAGAAGAGCACAGAAAGGCAGCAACAGTCCATCCTGACAGTCAAAAGACGTTTCAAAATCTTATGACAGATCAGCGGTTTGAGCTGGTCATACTATGGAGCAGTTTTGAGGAACAGTTTACCACTCTGTCAGCTCCGCAGTTTCTCTCTACACCTGACAGAACAGAAACAAATCTTGAAAGCATCACAGGCAGCTATGTTCTGCCACACTCTTCTGAACAATGTTTCTGGGGAGTATCACCATGTTGGGCACTATCTAACACAGGCAGAAGTGACAGGCTCCAATTCACCTGTCAGCAACACTACTCCATAGTGTCTGGGTTGTAGGACCCTCTTCCAGCCCCATTCTCTCCTCCTTTCCACAGAGTTTCAGAGAGTTGGCTCCATACCACAAGCAAACACAGGACAACAACCAATTTTGTTTTCATATGGTTCTGTGGAGGACTTAAAAGTTTTGGCAGGGAGTGTCTGAAATGGGGAAGATAATATTGCAGTTAGGTAAAGCAAGATTTAAGCTTTGAGAGGACTCATACCTTCTTAAACTTTCAAAACCTCGTGCCTTACCCTTGTCAGACCAACACTGCAGGGAAAAAGCAGGAGTTACGTTTTCTGCAAAGATGAGAGTTCCTGAGTCAGCAATCAGGAATCAACGGTGTTTGGGTGGTGGTTTCTTGTGGAGGATTAGTCGTTATCAGGTGAGACTGTGTGAGCAATGCTGGAGATTTATAAAAACTCTGCGCTTATTCTGCATGTTAATGTAAGGACTATGCGGACTTAACAGAAATCTTTACTGAGGTATCTACATGCTGCATCGCTCTTGTGACTTCAAGCTGCAATAACCTGGGGATATGAGAATAACACAGAACCACACAACCCTTTGCTGACACAGCAGGCAAGCCAAAATCTGATGCAGACCAGTAGTTCAGTGTGGGATCAAGTTTTATATATGCATTATTGCCCTCTTTTCTACTGGATCCATCTGATGACAAAGTCTATTCTACTCTCAGACTCAGCTAAGCCTTTTTCCACTTGTAAATCAAATGCACAGCTTAAGGTTCCTCTGGTATCTTTAAGGGTTGGCTGTTAAATGACAAAGTTGCAGCAGAAAACACTAATGCCTCCTGCTGTTATCATCTTTATCATCTCTCTCAGTTGCCTAATTTTGACATGACTATGAATGATCCTCTGGGGTCAGATCTCATCCTTACCACCACTACTTCTGACAAAGTCAGTGAGCAGTACTACACAGCTCTGCATTAGCAGACCCTCAAATGTACAACAGTGCTGCCCATTTGTCTAACCACACTTACACAGACCATGCAATAGTAATGCTGATGACTCTTGGATTGACTGGCAGTATTACACACAGGCATACTGAATTGTACAGTGTGAACCCTGGCTTTCCTGCAGGCTGCCTCTCCCTTTACCCTTCCCCTGAGGTCAGAAGACTAACTTAAGCAAATCATGTCCTCGTTCTGTGTTTCTTCTGAGACAGAAGAAACACTTGCAAGGATTGAAGCATGACTTCGTCTCCCCAGGCTCCAGAGAGCTAAATCATCAGGGCACAACTGCAGAACTTCTGCTTACTGCCACAAGCGGGTGTTTTTTGTAGGGAAGTACGTATTAAAAGCATCTTTTGGGAATAGGATCATGATAGATGTTATTTAGCATTTAAATTAGTATGGGTTGCATTACATTTGTTAATCGCTACCTTTGAGGAACTAAATAAATGGGAATTTGATCACAGACTTCAGCGAGGGTAGAATTTCATCCCGGGGAAAAACCCAATCATTCATTCATTTACAAAGTTTAGTAAAACTATTTGTAGTATTAATACAACTGTAAGAGAAACATTTTACAATGACAGCTACTTAAACAACTAATAGTTTGAATAGCTGAATTTGTACTGACTTTCGGAATCATGGCTGAAGTAGACATCTATGTTCTTGGAGCAAGCAACTTAGAGGAAAGGACTCCAATCTCAGCCAAGCCACTAATTCATTATGTAATCTAAAGGAAGTCATTGAACTCTCTTTGTCCCAGGTCGCCCTCATGAAAAACAGATGTTGCCCTTGAAGAAAGTTTTCCTGGGAAAATAATTTTTAAACAGAACCCCCCCCCTCCACTAAACCCCACAACAAAAAACCTGCAAGCAAAGTGACATGATCTGGATCCAATAATGTACAAATAGAGCTATGATACAATGAAGACATCCACTGAACTGTAAATAAATCTTCCCAGAAATGGGCATCATAAATTCAGAGAGTAGAGAGCGCAATCCATATCCAAGCAGGGACCAATAGACCAAGCAACACTGAGTGAAAACACAGTGCTAAGCCCACCCTCTCACTACTCAGGACATCTCAGGTGAAAGAGTGAAGACCATTCTAATCCTTTCTTGACTTACAGTGATATTCATAGGACTGCACATAAGTAGAATGTGGAACATTAAAATGTTTAATTGCACTGAAACAACTGTCTGGACTTCTAGATGAAAGGTAAAGCTACTACTTAAAGAAAAAAACCACAAACACAAGCACCTAAGCCAATGGTACTGCTCACTGAAGTTTCTAGCATCAATAGTCAATAGCAATTGAGACTTAACTGAAATAAACAAAAAAAGAACTGAAAGAGAAACCTATGACTAGATTTAACTATTTTTTCCAAAAAACACATTTGCTAAGAAAACAACTATTATATATACAGAACATACTAACATACAGTGGCAACTGAACAATCTCAAAGTTTCATTTATCTTAGTCAAATTCAGTTTTCCTTTCTAGATCTAGATTGAAACTGATCAAAAGAAGAAAAAAAAAATCAATTATTGATCTTAATGGTTTACCACTCAAAAGCTCACACTGTGAGCTCACAACTGTGCACCAACATATAACATGGCAATGCATCTGACTTAGCTTGCATTAATGGTGTTTTGCACAGAAACTGACACCTTTAACAGCAGCAGAGAAGTTAAGCAAGAAGTTCACTTCTTCAAGAGAACATCTATTGAACCACCAGTCAACAAAAGAGGATGAGACAAAAACTTCATCACTGACAGAGGGAAGCAATAAAAGTAGTAACACAACAGAAATACCCTACAGAATACAGAAAGGTTATATGAATAAGTGCTTTCCACCACCAGTTCCTCTGATTTCCTACTAATAACTATGTTATGATAATAGCTCTATTTGTTAAACTAAAAATATTTTATTACTGAAAGCATTGCAACTGGAGACTAAAAGAAACAAGGAAATCTTAGGAATAGAAAAAAAAAATGCCAGTATCAGATCAGTTATCAGTGTTCAACTATCTTAAAGATTGCACTAAGCATATAAATAGTTACAGATGGTTCAACCTGAAGGATTTACTGTCCTCTCACTCTTCATCTGTCTAGACGAGCAGGAGCCACAGGCACACACTGAAAGTTTACAAAGACTAGCAGTTTTCATGCACTAGGGCTGTCTTGCACCTCTGTTTTAGAAACTGAGCAACAGGATTAGAAAGGAAAGTTTTAAATCTATGACCAGCCAAAACAAGAAGTACCACACGAAATACGAAAATGTTATTTTACTTGGTTTTTGTTAGATCTAAATGATGAATTGTAAACCACCATCCGTTTAAACATCTCTTGTGGCTGCAAAAGAAAGAAAATTGCCAAACCAGATATTAACTTTTTGCTGTTAATAACTATCACCTACTCACAAATAAACTCACTGCTTTTCTTGCACGTCTAGGGACCAAATCACACTTGCACACTTGTTAGTGCTTGTTCCCTATACCATTTCAAAATGAGAGAACACACACAGTGAAACAGTACTGAATACAAAGAGGAAAGAATTCTAGAGAAACTACATAAATAATGCACATTTCCATACCACAAGATTTCTTAAAAATATTTTTCCATGACTCCTTTTATCCCTAATTTCTACAGAACAGTTCTGAGGTCTCTTCTCCATGATTTTGAAAAAAATAACTGAAAAAACCCACATGGACAAAGTGCTAGACAAGTAATTTCCAAAATATTGAAAAGTCATGATAAATATATATTACACATTTAAGATTTGCTCTCCTACCATGGATTTCCTATACTGAAAGGTGAATTTCATTATTAAGTTCCTCATGAAGTTGATAAGCTGAAAGAAAAGATATGTGTATTTGGGCTCATCCTGAAAGAAGCAATTACTTAAATATCAATTACCAGTACAGGTTCATTCTACTTAAAGAAAAATTCCTTCTGAATTTAAATTGACTTATTTCTGAGTGGTCTTGCTTCAATTTCGATATCTACAAGTAATTTCACAATACTGATAACTACTGGATTTTTTTTTAATTGTGTTGGGCTTCAGTGATTTTAATCCCATATTGATTCTGTATTTCTTTTGCTTCCAGTGCATTAACAAAATGGTACACTGTAGTTTGGAATCACTTAAAACACAGAACCTCTTATTATGTTACAAAAATTTCCAAAAATCAAATGGGCTAAAAAAACCCCCAAAACCCCAACCTTATACACCCCTTACAACTCTCCAGCCTCCATTCAAAACCCTGCATCAAATCAGGTAATGTATTTGAGTCTTCTGAAACAAGAACAACTTTCTACAGATTAAACTATGGTATTTACATTTCCAAACTCAATTTGCTTTAAAACAAATTACTATATATCAGTTTCACTACTGATTCTATCAGTGTCCTATAGTCATACCATTACTTGGAAAAACATATCTTTTCCCAAGTTGATGAGAGATTTGTTGTCTGCATTTAATTAATACAATGACAGAGTTTTTTGTCTTGAGGGACTTTTGGGCAAGCCTGGCAAGATTTTCCAGAAAACTCTTCAGGCCCTCTCTAGCCACTTAGAAAAAAATTTCCTTTTCAACACAGACGGTTTTGGTATAGCTGTGACCAATAATAACTGAAATTTCCAGTCACAGCACATCTTGCCACACAGTATCTAAGCACCTGTCTCAGGTCCCTTGACTGCAGTCCTGCAGAATCAGGCTTCAAATCTTGCAAATTAGAGGAAAGCTTAAACGTTCATTCTTCCTTTTAGAAATGCTGCATCCAGCCACAAAGCAGTGAGGGAGGAAAAATCTTTAGTAGCAGCAAGCGCATCAAAGTTTTCTAACTCACACACCAGGATGTTTGTGATAGTTGGGATAGCAGAGGCTAATGTCCATGTTGGTTTTACTTCTCTGAAAACCCTACCACTAAATCATAACAATCCTCTCCTGCTCTCTGAGCCAAAATTTAATTAGCTTTGCCACGAGTGTATTCCAATTCACTCTAGTACAGCAGATACAAACAATTCACACTGATTTTGACCCAGAGCAACCCTCAGCATTCAAGGCCACACTCAAAGTTTAATCCTCACCCATCATTTTCCTATTTATAAGTGAGAACAATTTCATTTTCATGAACTGTTGAAAGACCTGGGAATTGTGACCTGAATTCAGTTAATATGAAGACTTAAGTCACAACAGACACTTCACTGTTCCTATCTGGCCCAACTACCTTCCAGGTAACAGGAATATTTTACCCATTCTTGCATGTTTAATTTATTCTTATGTTCATGCTTTTCAGCTGCTTTATTAGTAAATTGCTCGAGTATAGGCTCACTTGATTAACTGTTTGAATCAAGTAAATCCATCAAGATCAGTTTCTAGAGTTTGGTACTCTGGACAGCTAAATTCAGATAAAAACAAGGTAGAAGAAATTATGTGTGTTATGTCATATTAAGACATAAAGACTAGAGTTCTGTAATGTGTGTGAAATCTAACAAGACAAGAAATAGGGTAGCAAAAGATACTTTTCCTTTGGTGATACCCCCCTTCACTAAAAGAAGCCAAACCGGTCCTGTACCTGAACCATTGACTTAAATAAGGACCCCTCTGCAAACAAACAAAAAGCATTCCTTCTGCATGAAATCAAATTATAATTCTTACACATTTCTGGAGACAGGCAAGTACCTTCTTGTCTGTTTCGTCATGCACTGGCCTTTTCATTTTTTAACTAACAGAAGTAGACTCCCACTTCACTTTGGTACCCATAGAAGTGTTACTCCACATACTACTGTGACTTCTTTGTAGCTCTGTGCTGCATTAAAGTCATAAATGGAAGTAAGAGGTAACAGGTCTACAAAACCAATTTAAAGACTGATGTTTCTCTCAAAGTCCTATCAGAATATTGCTCCCACTGAAACTGTGATCTTCCAACTAACATAAGGCAATTTGGGAATGAAGATGATTGACATCTGAAACATTTTAGCAGACTTGTGATTTGGAAAATGTGCATGCATGCATAACAAATCATAGAAATTTCCCTATGGAGGTGGATCTTATTGCCAATTTCTCAAACTAATTGTAAGCAGTTACAAAAGAAAAAAAAAACCCAAACCAAACAACCAACATTTTCAATTTGTACCAAGACCGTCTGATCACACATAAGGGTATTATCAGTTTTGCAGACTAGTTTACATTTGCACACTAGGCATTTATTTTCAAGAGCTAGATTATATTAACTGCAGAATATGATTTTACTCTGTTCACTCCTCCCCTAAGGAATTTCATATTGCTTAGAGATGCTGAATTACTGAACACAATCAAAATGAAAGCTCCAATGCATACAACTGAAGGAAATATCTACGCTGGGGGTATTTGAATTTATTTTTAGCTCATGTAGCCTTCTCTTGAGCAACTTATAAAAACTGCTTTCATTTATCATTTCAATCCATTTATAATATAGAAGTTTCAAGATGACTACATCTGTGGGAAAACTGGTTACTAAGTACCACTTAAATTTGTTCAAACTGTAACAGGGAAAAAAAAGGAACAAGAGTATCTAAATTTTTAAAGCAGAAAATGACAAAAAAAATCCATCGCACTTTAATGAAAAACAGCTAGGAATATTACACGCATCATTTACTGTCAGATACAGCATAAGCTTGTACTTAAATAAATGAAATGCAAATGTGATGGTTTTTTCCATCACTTAGAAAGCTCACCTGTTGCAATACACTGTCTTGCTTATATAAATGTATATATACACACGTGCATATAACAGACACACAACTCTAATTCTAACACCATAAATCATGATGACCCTCAAGAATAAATACTACTAATTGGTCCGCCACCTATTTTGGATGAATTTTCAGGGCTGTCACTTGGGAGTTATTACCTGTCAGAGCAGTATTTATCTTTTTTTTTTTTTTCAGTACGCTTTGGCTTACTTTCCCTTATATACCACAACTCCTGAAGAAGCTACATGGTTGGTCCTAAAATACTTAACCTAAGAGTTTTTTTCTTCATTTACATTTGAAATAGAAATGGAAAAAAAATAAGAAAAAGAATCTGATTGTGAGTCAACTTTGCAGGAACACTGCATGACCAGTGTATCGGAGTCTAAGATATGACAACACATTTTTTTTTCCTCTGGAAATGAAATGATGAGATACATATCTACATTTCAAGTATGGTCATGACTATTTACAAAGGAAAAATACAGTGTAGTTAATTTTTACTATTTAATTTCTGACAAATGAATTCAGAATTTATAAAAATAAAAACCAGCATGTGAATAAATGAAAAATAGCATCTACAGAGTCTAAGGCTCTACACTGTTCTGGAATTATGCACCCCTGTATAAAAATTGTCACTAAAAGTGACTTCTAGATAATGGGGGTGGGGGGGTGGGGAAGGAAAAATACCCTTTTGTACTTACCATTAGTGATCGCTTGACAATCTACATGAATTTTAGTTAGCAGAAGATGAGACAAGAACTGATTCTTTGAGTACAAGTCAAGAACAAATCCCATAGTACTACAGCACTCGGAAAAAGAACAATAAAAGGCTTACCAGGGCCTCTGATTTGATTGTTGGCCTGACCATAAAGTTTGGGTCAGGATGCAGCATGACAGGTTTAGAGACTATTGGTACCCCTGGAGGTCGTTGGGTAGGTGGACTTGGAGCAAGCTGCTATGGGGTTAATTTAAGAAAATTACAATTCACAACGTAATTTGTGCAAATCCATCATTTCATCAAGATGCCTCAATTCTAATAGTTTATGGTAATCAATTTAATGACACTAATACAACAAAAGGCTTACAGAATTATCTTAACTAAGACTTAAAAAGTCAACAAGCCAAAACATAATTTCTCTTGCATCCAGATAGTAGCTTTTTCCCCTAAACTTTGACTTCACCACCAAGATTATGGAAAAATCTCATCCCTGCTTTTGGCATTTATCCTGTAAAGGCAATGAACTTAATGAGAAACTACAGGAAAAAAAAATAATGCTTAAGTTGAGTATAAGAACATAGTGAACCTGAAATGAGATTTTAACTAATCTATGGCTAAACAGATCTTTTAAGATGAAATTCACCAGGACTGCAGCAATCAGCTTTCCGTAAAGAATTTCAAGCTAACTTATCTTGACTTAAGAGCAAGGGTTAGTTACACTAATTACCTATCCTTGACTGTACAAAGTACAGATACCCAGAGGCATCTAAGACCTAATCATCCAGCACGTACTAACCCGGTTGTACACTTCTTACTCAGTCAAAACTCCCGCTGACGTCAAGCATAGTTTTATTCAAGTTCAAAACTGAGCCCTGTGGGTTTAGTTTCTGACTTAACCCCAGCAACTCTCAGCACACTCTTGTCAATGTTTCTCATAGGAAATGTGATGTATTCCAGATATCATTCATATAGTACAAGCTGTATCCTCTGAAATTATTTGAATTGCTTCCAGCAAATTAGTTAAGCCATGTTGTTGTTTTTTTTTAAAGGGGAGTTTTTGGAGTGGGGTTTTTTGTTGTTGTTGTTGTTGGGTTTTGTTTGTCTTTTTTTTTCCCTCCTTTTTTAAATAATTTAAGAAAAAACTTTTGGAAACAGATCTTTCAAAGTCCCTGTGGATATCCCTCAATGAACGTTGTTCCACACTGCAAAATGTATCGTATCATTAAGCTTTCTGATCTTAGAAGAATGAGCAGGTTCACAGATATCAACTTGTTAAAGTTGCACGAGAACCAGATGATTTCTTCTGCAGTTGCACAGTTTAGAGACAGTCTTTTCTAGAGTGCGTCAGAATGGGCAAACCTGACATCCAGCCATCTTGAATCAAAATCAGTGCAAAGAATTATCAAACAAATGTTGGTTCTTCTGAGAAGCTTCCTTCTTAGCACCCATTATGTTTAAAATATAGTTTGGTCCTAGTTCCTTTTGGTTGTCTTGGCAGAAGAACAAAGTATATGCTCCATGATATACAGATATCCAGATATCCAAACATGGACTGTATGTTGCTGAAGTGTTGAAATATGAAGTCCTCAGACCATATAGGAGTCAATTCCACTACCTGGTATTAGGTTATCTTGTTACAGAGCAATGGATCCACAGGCATGAATGCAAGTGCTGAATTTTAAATAAATAAGCCATGCAGAGTCAAACCCTTGGCATTTCCTTGACATTAGCATTACATAGGAACTTCATAGAACTACAGTCATTATTAACAGTATATGACATACCAGCGGATTGCTTGACACAGAAGATACTTTGCCGCCGTGGGAGGTGTTTCTTACAACCTAAACAGTAACAGACTTAGTACTGGGTTCATATGAAGTATATAGCTAATAATAGTTTTGAGAAACAGATCAATTTATACCAGATATTTTAACAGTTAGTTGTCAAGAATGTATTTGACAGTATTTCATTCCTTTTTGGCTGGTATTTGTTCAAGCTGAATTTAAAATTAAATGATCGGGGTGGGGACGGGGACGGGACCCACCAACTTAGCAACATAGAGATTTACTGGTTTGATTAATTTTAGAAAAGTACACTTATGGGACAACAACAGTTGTCTTATTTTTTGCTTTAGCACGCATAAACACAAGATATTTAATCACTGACATCAAATAAACACATTGCTTCTGCTTATCTGTGGTGTTAAAAACCCACTTTTTAAAAAGCAGCAAGGATAAATTGCCCAGCTTCTGATTTTTCTTCCATTTCTGAAACCACATCAGAAATATTGTCTACTTACAAACAAAGCAGCTTTGGCTCAGTATTAATATTTACTAAGACTTAGTTCTTTCCTCATATACACTAATTATATTCAGTGAAAAATGACTTAGCATTTTTGAAGGCTAGGTCTTCTTTTGTTGTTGTTACTTGATGTATTTTTCTTTAATTATTAATGTCTTTTCTCTAACATATCTAGCAGTGAAAAACTGCCAGAAACATATTTTATAATATATGGGTTTGGGGTCAGATCCAGTATGGCAGTTCCTATATTACTTCTTTTATCTGAATATTTTCTATTAGCGTTAGGAGAACGTATTTCTCCTCTGAATGCTAGCACTTTGTACACTTGTGTCATTTCACATCATTTTTATTTCACAAATAACTTGGGAAACCTGTTATCCATAAGAACATCTGACATCTCCATTTCAGTGGATCTAGCATATCCTTGGCACTTCAAACATAATAAAGGACATAGATTGAGCACTATCAGAGGTCTACTTAAGCTTATAAGAAGAGATTTGTAGTTCACATTAGGGCAATTATTCACATAGAAATAATCTGCAAGTTTCCCCTGAAAAGTGATGAATTTGCATATCCTTCCCCACCCAACCAGAATCATGCAAACATAAAGCCTATTATTTCCAAGCAAACATGCAAAAAAAAAAAAAATTAAAAAATTAAATCCAACAATGCAGTCAGTCAATCCATGCAGAAAACTGTGCAGGAAAGAAGTGACCGTATGGGATCCTCTTCTGCTGTTCGAAACAAATAAGAATCTTTTGCCACAAAAATGAGTACGTGAATCCCACTACAGTGCTTAGCAAAGGGAATTATGATGCAACAGCCGCCATTTCTCTCCTAAAGTGAGATCTGGCACAACATTTCTTATATTTGATCCTCTTTTGGACTGAGATTGTAATAAGGAGAAAGTCAGAACATTTTCTCAAAGAAATCCCTAACTCCTCTGTGTGCAGAAAAAGTCAAACCTGATTATCAGCTCTTGTTCATTTAAAAGTATTTTACTGGTAATTTATACAGTGTTGATATTTTAAAAGTTTGAGCTTCTGATTTTAAGCTAATTTTTTTTGTCCACACTTTTAACCTAACAAATCAGTTTGATGACATTTAAAACACTTTCACAAGTCATTTTCACTACAGAGATATTTTTGTCAACTGTGAGCTAATCTGCTGCCTGCCATTGCTTTTTTTTTTTTAATCTTTAAACACTCAAGTCCAAATTGTCTTTTTAGCTGATACATTCTGCCCAAGATACCTGCATGTGGTAGGGTTACAATGTACATAGGGAGGAGAGAGCATAGCCCTCTGGACTTAAATTAAAAAAAACAACAAAACAAAAAAACCCAACAACCACCTATCTCTGGACTGCATTCACTACTATGAAGCATTGAAACCATTCCTTCTTTTAACATTGCATATGGCAGATAGGTAGATCCAGTGGATAAAGTGGGTGATGGAGCAGGGGAGGAAAGCCAGGCAGGGGAATGGAAAAGGTGCATGCATCTGAACAGATCATGAGGTCACCTGGGAAGCTGGTGTTACTGCCAGGGCTGGACCTCTTGAAAGTGGAACATTTGATGTAGGAAGCAGATGAGCTGATGATGCTGGAGTAACAGTGGGGGGTGGTAGCGGAGGCGGTGCGACACGTTGTTTAGGCTTGTCAACTTCATCTAAGTTTATATCATCAAGATCTGTGGTATGAAGCTGCAGGCCACCAGCAAAACGCTGCATTGATGTGGCCGAAGGAGAAGCGGAAGGACGTCCACTTGCCAACTATGTGCAACAGAAAAGAAATCTGCCTTAACAGTTCATCTGCCTGCAACAGCTCTGAAGAAATCAGTGGCAAATCTTAGGAACATCACTCAGCCTAACTGCTCCTGCACAGGAAGCTCCTGGCTTCTCCCACACAGAATATACATAAACTTTTTCTCTGAAAGCCATTTTAAAAGCACTTTACTTCTAAACTGGAAAGAAAACTGGAGTGCTGTGACACTAGGCTTGGCTGTTGGGGCAGGGGGGATGACACACAAGAAAACCCCTCAAAAGACAACCAGAAAACCCCAACTGCATGGAGTCTTCAGAAGGTAAAATCATAGGACAAATCACAGATAACACAACTCTTGCCTCTCTAGCTCTTATGAAGAGAAAGCAAGAATTGCTCCTTGCAAAGGTGATTATATAAAAGGAAAGTAATTGAAGAAGGGCCCTGAAATTCCACGCCATTTAAGAAGGGAAAGGGGCTAAAGTCTGGGGTAAACATAACGAGACATTAATACACGTGAGAAAAGTAAGCTTAAGCAGCTATCAAAACAAAAAGTTTAGGGTGCTATGAAATTCAGATCCTCAGGAGGTTCTGGACCTTCTAATTTCTGTTAATCAACACCAGATGCATGGTGGGGCTAACAAACTCCAGAGTTTGAACATAACGAGCAGCTCTCCCAAAAAATAAGGTTGTGTGTGCAAAGAAGGATTCTACATATGCTGTTAGAGTGGCTAACTTTTCTTTTATCAGTGAACAAACTGAAGTATTTAAGAAAATCCAGTTGATACTCTTTCATTTTGCTATTTTGTAGACTCAGCAGAGGAAATATTTGAGACGAGCTGTCCTACAGACACATGCATCTCAGTCTAATATGACAATACTTCCCTCAGGTAGGTATCTCTGTTGACATTCTTTGGGATCTCCTTATCTGCCATACTCACCCCTTGGTACTAAAAAACAGGTATTTCATTGGCAGAGGTCAAGAGATCTTGACCACTCTTATACTCAAGCAGCAGTTCAAGCCTGTAGTACCTGAATATTGTTCAGCTGCATTTATCTCTCAGAAGCATTTTGGTTTTGCTTTATGTGAGTTTAACTGCTTAGGTAGTTTTGTAGAATTGTAATAGCATATTTATATGTAATGTAATGTAACAGAAGAATTGATGGAGCAAATACAACAGAGTGCTTGTCTTAAATCAGGGTAGAGCTCTGGAAATACAACAGTGATTTTAATCTTTAATGTTCCCTTTTACTTTACAAAGTAAGTGGGACAAAGACCTACCAGAACAGAGGCAGCCAAAATCAGGTAGCGAGAGAAAACTCAGCATAATCATTCCACTGTCCTAGAGACCTGCACTGAAAGAGCCACATGGATCTGAGCCTGAGATCAGGAAGAACAGAAGACCAGCTGCTTTTTTCAGAGCAGCTCCACATTGACCTGAAGGAAATTCATGCAAGAGTGTTCCCCAAGGGTCGTCTTTGTGGTTGCAATTTCTCGGGGATCCCAGGGGAGTTCAACAGATTGCAGTGTTCCTCTTGAAAGCAGCTGTGCTTGGAAGAGAGCCAGAGCAGCAGGATGGTGGGAAAGCCTCACTCCACATCTAGAACCATCGGGCTCTAAGGCACAATCACTATCTGCAACTCTCTTCGTTTAAGGGGACTATTTAAAAAACAAAACCGAACCCTGTTATTTGGGAGTTTCTTATCTTTGTCATTTTCTTAACCTGTAGCTTTATTCCATGCAACACAAGGAAGCATCCAAGAGCCCATCGTCAATGATGTTCTTATTTTCATCGGATACTAAAAAAATATGGCTGGGTATTCTAGTTTCAGTTTTATTGTTGGTAGTACATCCCACCTAGGCCAAACAGCTCACAAGCCAATAAAACCATTAATTTTGTGGTGATAATATACTTAAAAAGGACAAAATAAAACCAGTTCATTAAAATTAAAAAAAAAATCTCAATAAAATATAGGAACAGCAAATTATATAGATTGTAATTTATCAATTACTGACATTTTTTTCCCCTCTTAGAATGAAGGCTGAGAGGGAAAGGTCAAAACAGACTTTTCTCTGGTAAAAACCTGTTGCTTTTAGGACACAACTACTGAGTTATTTAGAGCTCATGCAATATATGGAGAAGCCAGAATTTTACCTCAGGAGACTCATTCTCCACAGAGGAAATCTGTTCTAACCGTGTCTGACAAAGTCTTTCCACCCAGTGCTGCACCTTTTCTGATTCTTCCAGGTCTTCTCGTTCTGTCTCAGATACCTTAACCATAACATCAGTGCATGAAAAAAGGTTATAGGTACAGTTACAATATAAAATGTTTCAAAAGTATGAAATGCCATTTCAATTAGTTTTAAAACTAATAATGCTTTTGAGAATGATTTCCTATTCTGCTGTCTTTCATTAAATTCATCACTACACATGGACACTCATTAACTGCAGAGGTATCTTCATTCGGGCAAAAACTGACTGTAGAAACAAGCAAACGTGGGAACAGAGTTCTGCAGTGAAACAGCAATTTTTTAAAACTTCATTATCTTTGAAATAATTAAACAAGTGTCCTGCTAAGATAATTGCACTAAAGATTCAGCTCATTTTCTTTCAATATAATTTTGCACTTCATAGGAGAACACAACATACCTCTTGTACGAGACGATTTATTTTCAGTTGTTTTTCTTTCTCCAACATTCCTTCTTTCTCTTTGGCAAGTTTTTGCTCAAACTCCATTTCCTTTTTATTCTTCCTCTGTTCACACAGACTGTCACTTTTTGACTTCTTTCGCTCTTTCCCTTTCTGGGAAGTTTTGGTGGTTTCTTTTTTTTTTTTTTTTTTTTTTTTTTTTTTTTTTTACTTAAGCAGATTTTTACATCAGCTAAAGACACGGCAAACTTCAAGCTTGGTACATGAGTGCCTGCCTTGAAAATATAATTAGTCTGTGCAAGTATGGGGATGGTCTTTTAAAAGAAAATCCAAAGTCCATTTCCCCAGCAATTTGCAGGAAACTCAACCTTATTTGGAGTGCTTGTGGACATTAACGTAAGTTAGACAAGATCAGACAGCTCAACTCTTTTGCTCCTCTGCAAAGTTACAACATTAGGGCACAAAGGCCCAGTAGAAAACTTTGAATATTCAAACAATTTTGGTTAGGTCTTGATTTGCCATCACTCTATTCTGGCATTTTTATCTAAATACAAGACTGACTGCTTTCAGGTGACAGATGCTCATGTACAGGTAGATGTGAATATTCTATGCATAAAACATCTTCATGCATATGCCCTAAAACCAGCATTGCCTGCCTTAATACCACTGAAATAAGCAATTACAAAGGAAAGGCTTAGATCAGTGCAGAAGCTGAATTGCTCCCAGGAAAGAACAGTTCATCACGAAGGCCAAGTAGCTTTTATGAGCACTGGATAAAATCTGCTCACGTGAGTGAACTAATACAGCACAAAGCAACTCTAAAATTTTAGATGTAGAGTGCAACCAAAGGTGAAAGCTACATAGCCTTTTTGGAGCCTCTGTTCCTGTTATTTTCGAAGTACATCCTGCTCCTTATTTCTACTTTAATGATGTCACATTTCTGCCACCCTCTCCTGTTTGTACTGGAACATGGAAAGCCCATGTTCCCCTTTTATTTATGAAAAAGTAAAAAGGAGGAGCAGCTGGTCACTTATTGTCAATTACTGCCAGTGCCCAGAAAGGCTATGCTTTGGGTTTGATTTCACTCTGCTCATTATCATCAGCTACTGACTCTTCATGGTGGTTTGGGGAATTCAAAGCATGAACATGCTTCACTTTAAAATAGCATTATTTGTCTTCCTTCCACCTTTTACGTGTAATATTGATAATAAACCCTTGGAAAACAAACATTTTCCCTGGCAGCTACAAAAGATAATTCTCCAAGGCAAGTAGTTAATCGGAACTTTGTACTACTGAATTCAGTGGGATGTTTTCTATTGCTTCATGGTTAAGTGGAGTTGTTGTTGGGGAAAAAAAATAAAAAATAATAATAATAAAAAATCAATAATAGTTGGCAATAAAAATTTTTAAAAGTTTAAGTAAAAAAACAATCTAGCTTTTCACACTAATGTTTTAACATAAACATAATTCTGTTGGCATGTTTTATTCAGGGCTAATTAGTTTGTACCTTAATAACAATTGCTGATATTATCTTATCTTCTAATAAATTAGAAAATACATTTAGCACTAAATGTAACATCTAGCAGGTCAGCTGCCTAGGTATCAACATTTGAAAAATTACTGAATTTAAAGGCACACTAAGCAGTACACACACAAGCCAAAGTGTTCCAGAACATGAACATATATCAGACAATCTTAGCTGCATTCACTGCATTCAGATACAGCAGGATGAGTCACCCTTTCCATCCATTTTCCCCATGGATTCAGTTTACTTCCTATTACAGACATTTTTAGTACAGAACGAAATTTTGTTTTTAAAACAAAACAAAATATCAATTAGCAATTTGGAGTAGGATGAAAATTCATCACTTCCAGATTTAAAAACATTTCTGAAAGCCAAAGATTAAAAATATGTCTTTTCAAGCTTCTAGTCCACACTGTGAAGTAGAGTTCAACAGGAACTGGGTAAGATCTTCATTACTGTATGAAAAGGTATTTGGACACTCTATAAACTACCTTTGTCAGCAGCAATACAGGAGATCACCTGTTTGTGCGAAGAGATTGAGCTTTCATAACATGTATTTATAGTTTTCAGATAGATATCCTAACTGTACTGGCTTTCACACTAGTTACAGATCCATGCTGATTTAGAGTTGCTAGCAGTACAAAATGGTATCGGAGTGTACCATCATTTCCTATTCTCTATTAAGGTGAACAGGCATTTCCTGTCCACACAGAAGGTTAAAGTAATAGTCCTAAACGGTGACACAAATACTTAATCTGTCAGACACAATCCTGACCTACTCAGAAACCCTGAGCTCTCAGAAGATAAACATATGAACTCTTCTTGACATTTCTATCCCAGTTCATGACCATCAGCCATCACAAAAAAAAACCAAACATCACCAACACACAACACAACCACAAAACCCCATAATATGGCTAATATACATTGAAAGAAATAAAGAGAATAAAGCAACAGCAGGAATAAATTATTAAACTCTAATAATTTGAAATTGCAATACTTTAGCAGGAACTCTACAGATATAAAAGTATTCTATCAAGCTTAAAGATTTTCTTTTTTCTTTTTTTTTTGTTTGTTTTTTTTTCTTTTCTTTTTTTCTTTCTCATTCTGTGTGATGTACATGCCTAAAAGCCTTTTGCCTTCAGCACTCCTCTTACTGGGATATTTGCAAAGGTATAACTGGGAACTGCATACTTGATTCCCATTGAATTTTTGTCTCTGCCTTTTTCTATACATTATTCTGAGGACTTTTGGAGAACATAAAGACACGTACTGCCCACCTGTACTGAACACTTTCTGCAAAGTACTGACATATAATTCCTACTGCAGCTGGCAGAACTTGAAAAGTCCAAAGTATTCAAAAGGACAAATTGCTAGGCAGATGCATCCCAAACACATCTGAATTTGTGCACACGTTAAAAGAAAAAGCATTTGACTATAAAGAATGTCTAGTAATAACAGAGAAGAAGAAGAAAAAAGAGGAATTAAAATTCAAATGCACAGCAAACAAATTCACATATCACACTTTGTACCTTGCGGATTGTGGGAAATTTTCCTTCATACCGATAAAACCATCCAAAAGCTACAAAAGGTAAAGGAAACGTTGGGGTTTTTTTGGAAGAAAAGTCAAGGACTGGTTCAGATTCAGGTCAGTCCATGGTGAAACATATAACTGATGAAAATTTATTTGAAAGCACAAGACCAAAGGTCTGATAGTATATGACAAGTTCTTAGATGACTTCTTGATCAATTGTGCTAGTACATTTAGTCATGTTACCCTTATTTTAGTGATACACATTTTAGGTTAAACAAAGCAAATGTAACAAGTCATCTTCATACAGAACCATACAGCCATATGCATTGCGAAGATATCTATGGTCACAGTCCTACTTTACACTAGTTTTAACAAGCCTTCTTAAAATGAAACAGGTATTCAAACTCATTTGAGCTTGTGGCAGAACACAGTGGCATTTGAGGAGACAAGAAAAGCTCCATTTCCTAGGATAGAATATTTCGAGCCAAGTACATAGAGTATTACAAAACACATTGCTAAGTAAAAACATACAAAAGAATCTGTTACCATAATTTTATATAAAAAACACCGATAACACACACAGCTCTCAATTTAAGCCACCTTTCTGTAGGATTGATAGATTTTGTATTTGTAGCAAGGGATCTTTAGAAAGCAATGACAGCAACAATGTCATACCTTCCATCGTTTACCAAGGGACCACACATATTGCCCTAGCAAAATCGAATGATCAGTTCAGTGTCAGGACTGACTGTCAGGAGGAAGTGAAACACAGGAACAATCTGAATCAGGAAAGGAAGCTAAGGCTGAGCTGCAAACCTGTTTGTCCTGCTTCATGATCACTTCATCCATGTCATCTGTTTCAAGTTGGTCATGTGCAACTCCCTTTAAATCTACTAGAGAAACAAAGGAGGAAAAGAGTGAGGAGACAGAAATGACAGTCTCACTGGAGGTTCCCATGAAATGAAAAAGAGATCAGCAATGTGTGACTAGAAGTTTCCATGAAATAAAAAGTTAGCAACAGGATATTCTTCCACAAAAAAAAAAAAAAAAAAAAAAAAAAGAGGCCCTGCTTAAATCAAATCGATTTCCAACCTCCTCCAACTCTGAAAAGCAGTTAGTATCTGCACATGGCCAATTAGTCTGCTCTGCTATGAAAGGAAGCCTGCAGAGGTAGGTGGCTTTACTTGTAATTAAACCATCAGCAGTTCTGGGATATCTGGCTTCAAAAAGAAATATCGGCCTTCTACTGTGCTGTCACTGGGGCAAATGCTATACAGAGAAAACACTGTCCTGAAGAATCCGAAAACTAAATGGATAAAAGAGAGTTGCAGAAGAAACTTTTCCCCATCTCAGTTTCTCATCCATGAAAAGTTACGTGACTTCCCCAAAGTCACACAAAAAAATAACGTAATCAGGTTAGGAACTGACCCAGGTCTCCCTTAAGTTACACAACAAGCACTTTCCACTTTTTCCTTTGTCTAATACCACGTTAGTACACTCTTCACATACTATCTGTAGCTTCCAATTTAGCCAATTATGCTCCAATTAAGCTCCAAGGGTCTTAAATTCCTTTGGACAACTAAGTCAAACTTACACTTCAGAGCAATTCTTCATGGAAAAGTTGCAGTGTAACACAGTACCTCCTCAGTCTCTTGACTAATTCTGAAGCAGCCTGCCCAGTGATATCAAATCAATTTTCAGTGTGTGCAGACTAGAGACTGTCTGTGAAAGATTTACTGCAATGGATGAAAAGAAGAAAAAGATAGGAAAAAGGAGGACAGGAGAGGAAAAACAGATAGATTCAGTAAGAAAAATGATAGTAGGAGAGGAATAGAAAAAACAAAAAGTAAGGAAAAGGTGTTCCAAAATCTACAAGTAAACCACACTTGAAAAAGCAGGATTTTTCTTCTACTCTGACAGATGATCTATTCAAGATATTAACAGATCTGCTACTACACACAGCAACTCATGGACAGATGCCTGAATTTTGCAAATTCTTAGAAATGTGCCTAGCTTTCTCATGATTAGGTCACTAGGAAATGACTCAGAAGTTCTGATTGCATGCTTTTAATTAGTACATGCTTACATGTTTGCTACCCAAGCTCTTAGCATGCAAGATTATTTTTGCACTCGTTGTAAATATCATTATACCATCATCATTTCATTTTCAAGATAATTGTCAAAAGAGCATGAACTGAAGAAAGTGATATGCAGAAAAATGATGTGGTAAATACTTTAGCCGGAGAAGAAATAAATTAGATGTGAAAGGCATGCTGGCAAGAAACAGATTTGTCAAAAGATCTAGGAAAAACACTTAAGTCACTGATTCTTAAGAATCTTTGATTTTTCTTTTTTGTTTACTGTCTCACTGTTCTTTGCAACAATGATTTCTGTTGCAATTTTTAATGACATTTAATATATTGTTTACTCAATTAAGTTGTTAACTCCTCCTCATGTAAGAGAAGCAAGGGAGCTTCAAGACATTCCTACAGCCCTCAAAGACTGCCAAAGTAAGAGAGGACCGAGATCCTGCTGAAGAGATGAGGGAGAAGATCTTTAGATTATTCTGAAAACTAACCATTGAATTAATTTCCTCCAAGCCAAAGGCAGGGATTCCATATCTGTCTTTTTTAGTTAAGAGCAAGCAGACAAAAATACTCAAAACCATAACCTCCACCCTCTGTAATACACTGATTTAGAGTAAGGGAGAAGAAAAAAAGGTAACAATAGGAATAGTACAAAGTGCATTCATTCACTCTAAATGAGACTGCAAATCTAGTACTCGTTTTATACCTTCAAACACTCCACCTCCCAAGATCTCTTCTCAAATATAAAAATGATGTAAAATTATTTGCTTATATGATTAATGCAGAAAGCTCAAAGCTAATTCCAAATGAAGGAACAAAACCAAATGCTTGTCTCCCCTTCGTCATACCTTCATTTTGAAAAGTAACAAAACCCATTAGAAAAAAGCCCATAAAACCAAAATATTACTTATAAGTAATATTTTCTTCACCGAGATGAAAGCACTCATATGTATATAACTTAGCATTTGAATATCAGCTTATCCACGTGGACATAAAAACATAATTGAATAGCATATAAAAAATGCAGCACTGCTTCCATTTGGGCATGTAGTGGAAATTAGCACAAGTCTAGTAACACAAGAACTGCTCTGTGAAAAGGTTGACAGGCAAAACACTGAACAGAAACAACATGGAAAGCAAGGCACCAAACCCCCAAACTAAAGAGGCTGATACTTCAAACGATTTCTGAGTGAGCTTTATTTTTTTTTCCTGCTGCTTCTTGTTAAAAAACATGACTGTTTGAGTGGATGTAGATTTTGCTAGGTACCTGTTAAATAAGAGCTATTAAATTAATCAATCATATGCTTTCAGCCTTCTGAAAATAACCAAGTCATAGCTAGCTTGGCTTGGACACACACTGGTGATATATTCCACACAGCTCAGTGATGTGTCTGAAACAAATACTTTCCCTAGGAAGCAGATTGAAATCAATTACTTACTTCTGCGTTTGGAATGAGGGGCAGGGTGCACTTCTGCAGTCACAGTTTTTAGAGATTTGGGAGGTTCTTTAGGACCCCAGTCTTCTTCCCACTCCTTTTTAAATTTCTCTTCCTCTGCTGTTATCCTATAGGAAAAAAATACAGCTAGGAATTCTGACTATAAAAACAGCATCATCAATATAAACTCATTACAATTATTTAGTGTTCTGTATTTTTGGTTTTTTCCTCTTTAATATAAAGCACAATAAACTGCCCCTTTCCCCAAAACAAATTCCTTTCATCAATCTGTTTCATTTACTAAGCTACTAAGATAATTTGTAAAATACAATGTAACTGAGTAAAATATTCTTATTTAATACTGAGACTTCTAAGGCCAGTTATACAAACACCTGCACAAATATTAACCACAGAGTGATACACTGCAATACTGACTGTTACCTTAACTGAAGTCAAAAGCCATCTCTCACCTAATAGTTCCTCATTTTTAGAACTGGGAAATATCTATTAGAAAAACAGTCAGTTTTAACTAAAATACTAAGTGACAGAATATTTACCACATGCCTAAATCAGATGTTACAATGGTAAATTATACCTCAAGAGTGCGTGTCTTATTTCTGTATCTTATCTCCATTTGGATGATAGTTTCCTAAACACATAATTCTAGGCTACACTAAAAAGTGACTCTTCCCCAAAAGAACTAGATACTCTTGAGACACAAACCACATAAAAATTCAGCTTTTGGGGAGGGGGGGGGAAGAAAGAAAAAATTGTCACGCTTCAGGACAAAGCGGCTCATAAAACAAGTAAATTACCTAGAAGGCACCTAGAAAGACACCATGATCAAAAAACCACATTTTGAAGGAAAATTCAGCAAATCCCAAGTATGTCACAAGAGAACTACCATATAACCTAATGGCTTGTAGCTTCATATATGGTGCCTTTAAGTGATCCAAGATCTATTCTTGGCTGTAGCCTGTCTTGAACTGGTTAACTGACATATGGTTCAAAAACTTACCAGATCTTAGATATATATGATGCTATTCATACTTCAATTATCTTTTGCATCTCTAAATTAGCTAAGGTATATTTAAAAAATATCCACATGTGGTCAAAGCACTATTGAATTGGCAGCTGAGGTCAGTATTTAGATTTGGAGGCATAGTCAATAGCAGGGAACATTGGACAGAATGTTTAGATTTGTTTTTACATTTCCTTTTAATTAAAAAAAAAATGGGGTTACAATGTAACTTGAAGTACACAGAGTTAAGGACCTCTGCTATTTAGGCACATTTGAAATTTCTTCCTAAAATGTATGCAAGATACTAATAAAGGGCACAGTGAATCTATACAAGGAATTCCTGCAGAAAGGATTTTAAAAATAGAGAAAAGGGTCATCCTCACAAACTGTTAATATGGGAAAGCATTACATTCTAGTGAAACTGCCTGCCTGCAATTGCTTATTAAACCTAAGGTTCAGATTAAATCGAAGTTGCTATACTACCATCCTCCCTCCTCTTCACCAACGAGACTGAGACAGACTTAACAGTTTGGATTGTAATATGGAAAAGCTTAGTAAGTGCCTGAGCAGCACTTGGAAATTGCACAACGAAGTATAAAGACTTCCTAGACCTTACAATGAGCAGCCCTCAAGGCAGCCTGATCATGAAAGTCCTCCCGGAGTGAGTAAAGATGCACTTAGTTCAGAAGGATATTGCAGATACCAAACATTCACTATAGCAGACAAGCAATCTACATTTGGAGAACAGAATCATTCTTCACCTGTGATGGTCTGCTTTTACAGCAGCTTTCCATGGCTATTGCAGCAATTTCTACAGTAGACCACAATAAAGAACAGGATGTTACCTATTCCCCAGGAATTAGAAAAAGAGATCGTGTAAGAATTCATCCACGTGCTGCAGTAGAGCCCATGGCAGGACTGTCAGAAGATTCTTCTCTTGTGACAGCTAGGGAATATATTCCTTTTTGCACCTCACATATTCAGAAATCCCTACACTTTTTCTATCAGAGAATTTTAGCTAATACAGGTACATGTAAAGGGACTTAAGTGAATGAATATGAATTAAAAACTGTTTAAGATGTCAAAGGTGCAAAGCTGAATACTTCAGGGTCAATCTTAGCTCTAAAAGGATGCATAAAAACAGATATTGTGCAATTTCACACTATCTTTCCTAACATCATTTAGAAGGGAAATTAATTACTGTGATAACAACAACATATTATACTGGTTAATTTTAAAGTTCCAAATGTAGAACAATGCCGAAGTTACATTTATAGTACTGACTTTATTATAATACAATCTTTGAATGTGTCTAGTTCCTATAATCACAGATTTTTAAAACCAGAATAGACTGTGATAATAAAAATCAGATTTCCTGAATAAAATAGGTTATAAGAACTTCCTGCTTTAGGTGCCACAGTTTTATTTTAATTAATTCTCTCCTTAGAAAAGCAAAAGCCTACTTAAAATTTATGACTGAAATTTCTACTCAAGATGATTAGCATCACACAGTCCATATTTTAGTCTAAATCTACACAGCTTTTGTTTTCAGAACTGTCCGATAGACTGAAAAGGCTATTAAATTCCACACTGTGCACACTCTTACAGATAATGAACAAACTACCTGTGTTTTGGTTTGGTTTTTTAAAAATATAAGCTAAGTGGATAAGTCATCAAGCCCCTGAGTATATGCATGTTTTCCAGCTCTTTAGTCATTCTCCTATTTCTTCCCTGATCCATTTCCTTGCAATATTAATTTCTTTTTTTCTGTTAGAATTAGATGTAGTGGTTCAGTGACAACAGAGTAAATGAGTTCTGAGACACAGAACTTCCTTAATCTTAAGTTTCTCTATACATTTATAATATATTTTTAAAATAAGCACTCAAATTCTATTTCAGATTGAATTTATTATCACCATAATCCTCATGTTTTCAAGGTGCTGATTGTCAGATCGTTTCCTATTCTGTAACTGTGGTGTACTTACTCATATGCACTGGACCCTACATTTCGCTAAATTGAAATATTACACAATTTTATTAGAAAAGAACATGCAGAATGTTTTCAGCCAGATCTAATATATAAGGACCCTTTTTCAGGCAGCATATTGCCTATGTAAGCTTTTTACTTACTGCTCTATTTCTCTGCGATATCTCTCTTCTTCCTCTGCAGCCTTCTGGGAAATCTCCAGTTTTCTTCTATAATAAGAGGAATTAGGACACCATGATAAAAATAGTACTTTCTGAGTAAGAACTTGCACAAAGTGTGTCAGCATATAGTTAGTAAAAGATATGGACAGTAAATACATATGCATTGGGTAAAAATGCTCCTTTTTAAAAGTCATCTTTAAGATACCAAGGGTTCAATATACTTTTGTAGGAACCCTGAGGACATTCATGACCATCTGGATAAGGGCATATCATCTATTTAACTCTGTAAGTCACTATCTGTTTCTGACACAGTTCCATAGTGTATTATTGTAAGAGTATAAAATTTGTAACTGTCCTGCTAAAAATAAAGGATGAGGGAATGGCATTGGGAAAATAACTAATATCACACTGAATCATAGGGGTATGACAGTCAGGGAACAAGGTGACCCTTCTATTCAAGACGTGTTTGAATGACATCAGCTTTGAAAACTCAGAACATCAAAAGCACCACAGGATAAGGATTTATGAACAGAGACTCTGTAAATTAATCTAAATTGGGAGTCTTCTCACAGTTGCTCCTGTCTTCCGTACCCTTTCCAAATCCAAGCTAAATTTTTCAGACTGTCCTATACAGAGTCCTTACAATCTCTCTTTCTCTTGCTGCTCTTTGATGATTTTGTTAGTCTCCAGCGCGAGTCGCTTTTGATGCATTAACTCCTGGCGTTCTTGCTCACGGAGACATGCTTCTCTCTGCCTTTCTTCTTCAGTCATGAACAGCTCCTTTCCCTGCAATCAGAACCACCACCCAAATCAGTTGTGAAAAAGTCTCATGAATGTAGTTCTTCTAGGAAATAATTCAAAACCAATTACGTACTAGAACATCTGCCATTTCCTCACATCACTTTTTCTGAGGAATGCTTTCTGAAAGACCCTGAAAGATCTGACCACTTCATTCCAAAGAGCTACCCCGGTTTCAGTATCAAAGTTATGATATTAAACAACTCAGAAGAGGCATGCAATTACTGAAGTCAGCAACAACAGCATAGGGGTCATGCCAGAGACATGCTCAGTGTGTCACCCAGAAAAAACTCCACATTATACTTCCTTGAAATCTGAGCAATGCAATGCTAGAGAACAGCACATTGAATGAATGCCAACGTGGAAGGCAACTACACAGTTACTGTGTTTTAATGCTCTTGTGCCTGGCTGCTGTGGAAATGTACCATCGCTCACGGAACTCAAATATAGGGAACCTACATTGCCAAAAGGTTATATAGTTGATGTGTTTCATTTGCTTTACAGTTAAGACACCGGCACTATTTTCTATTCAAGAAAGGTATTTCCACGGTGCTATGTGTGGAACAGTTTGATAACATTTATCTAATTTTCATTACTGAAATTACAATCCCTTGTTAAATAGGAAGGCCAGATTTTTCATGTCTCTAAGGCTCAAAAGCAGATGGCTTGAACAAAAACAGGCAGTGAAGAATGCCTTTGCACCACGGTCTTAAGCTGACCGAAAAACAGGAGTAGAGAAGCTGTTTCCCTTCGCAATCTCTTCTTCAGTACAAAGATGTGTACTGAGGAAAGGAGAGACATGCAAGGTGAAGCAGGGTGGAACAGAAGAGTTCCATAGCAACAATTCACCATTTTAAGGATGCAACCCCAGTGGTACATGCTGGAGTAGATCCCATCTTTTCTAACAGTTGGTAACATATCTGGGAGTTGAAACTAAGCCCTTAGGATGTTGAGTTCTTGGACCTTAATCATCTAGTCTGGAACATTTGTTTAAACAATTTCTACAAAGCCTTTGGACAACTGTATCTTTTGTTACTGTAAGAGTAGTTTAATTAAACCATGAATTCCTTACTATAGCTACACAGTATACATGAGCCCTTAGGAAGCAGCTTAAATCATTTAATAAATCTTGTTTTCCCTATTTAATTCAATTGCAAGGCAATCAGAAAATGCCGTCTTTGATTAGTCAATGGAACTTGAGTATCCTCTTGTATAGAACTGTACATTTTACTGTAAGAAGGCTTGAAGCAGTAAAAACCTTAAAACATTTATTGAAAGTCACACTGAAGTCAGTGGGAAGACTTAATTAATTTCAGCTGGTTTTAGATTAGGCCCCAAAGGCATATAGTTCTGTTATACAAAACAGTGGAAATGGAAAATTGAACAATTTTCAATGTGTTGATACACTGAAGAGATCAGATAAACAGTTACACAAGGAATTAATTTGGAATAAGACTAAGATATCAGCTATTCAGGATGGAAAAATTAATTTATTCCAATTCACCTTTCATGTTTCAGCAGAAGCAGCTATCTATTAGAACAGAAGCTCTCAAACATGAGAAACAATTACAATATAAGTTAATTTCCATTCCTTGTCAAGGGAATGGTTTTGCACTGGCCCACAGTCATGAAACTGTTTTATTTGAGAATACTGTGGATAGTTATCAATTAAATAATCAAAAGCTACTCAACGCTGCCCTGGTTTGACAGAATTTAGTGGTATAGACATCATAAAGAAACACAGCTCTACTTCTTATCTATTTATTTTTATCATTTATTTGCCCACATAGTAATTTTCACAAATATTCTGCTTTTATAAATATACTACTACTTACAGCGCCTGCTACCACAGAGATAGTCAAAGTACGACTACTTTTGAGCACTCTGACAGCCTGCAAATTAAAACAAAACAAAGATCAGTCTAAATTAAGTGGTAAAAGTCGTGTATATCTAGGATGAAAGATGCTGGTTGTCAAAGCTGGATTTCCAGAAGACCTGCCTGAACTAAACAGGGTGGTAGATATTAAAATCTCCACATTCCCATGTTCAATACTCAACCTCTTTGGTTATGTAGCTCAGTATCAAAACATATTTTTTGCAGCCAGGAAAATCAGACAGATGCTTAATAAGCTGACAACTACAAATTCAGTGAATTAGGAAGACTTGATCTTACCTCTTTATGATCCACATTAGAAAAGTCCACTCCATTTACCTCAACAATCTGATCACCGACCTAAAGGAATTAATTCCAATTTTAGTACAGATGCTAAATAAGTACATATATTAAATTAAAACATAAATAGATATACTCTCTAACATTCTTAATACAACAATCATAGCTACTGGCAGAGTACAATGGGAACAGACTGGAAACTGGCTAAGCTTGCACATCCTCCTGTATTAGCATTTCCTATTGCCACTGTTTTGAGACTAAATACTGAGCTCGATGGACTATTGGTCTGACCCAGGAGGGCACTCTCATGTTATTAAAATTTAGGAAACTTGTTTCATTTTGAAACGTAACCACAAGGTATTTCTTTCCCATGGGAAAAAACAAACAAACAAAACCGAAAAAACCCCACCCCACACCTAGTGACTTCACAGTGATCCAGAATCCTCAAAGTAGTAAATACCAAACAACATTTCTTTGTGGTACCTACCTTGGACTGTGGCATACTTACCTCTAAGCCCACCTCTGCTGAAAGAGAACCCGGCTTAACATTGCTGATAAAAATGCCTGGTTTTTGTGTTGGACCACTGGAAATACTGGTATAATATAAAAAACCAAACACTTAAAGGATAATATTTATAGAATAGTACAGTGTAATACAGTGAGAAGTCTTAGTTGTTTTCTCATAATTTCTTTCCGATTAAAGAATATTTTTGTGGTATTAGCCTACTCTGAAACAAAGACCAAAATTTGCCAGTACATGCACAATGGTTTATCATCCCACTTTTCTATCCCTTGCAGCACAAAACTATGACTTAAGAAAAAGCTAAAATAAAAATATTCAAGCTCCTGGATTTTTCCTTAGATGTTGAAAATAACAGTATACTGACCTACACTGTCTAAGGGACTGGGACACTAATGACAATCAAAAGCAAGCATCGAACACAATGAAGAATTACTAATTGCTTGCACATTTACTCACTGAACTGCGGTATACTGTATATATAATACAATGTTATTTTTCAGGATTACTTATTAGAAGCAAGTAGGATGTTTCAACCAGGGGCCAACATCTAGCCTGGAAACTTTAAGCTGCAGTCTAAGCTGGGCCCAAACACAGAAATTATTTTTGTAGATAATATATCCAGCAGGTGATGTTGAACCACCCCTTCAGGTCTGTAAATAATTTTTAAAACTTTAGATCTTCCAAATAATATGAAAGAAAAGTTATGCTTTTGAAAATATTCTGTGCAGTTCAATCTTGATAACTTCAACTATATATTCCTAAATATATAAGAAATCCTACAATATCCCTTCTACCCCAAAACCTCCATAACTAGCTTTTCAGCTTGGACAGGAGTCTGCAAAGCATCTGTTCATATTTCTAAAAATATTGCAAGTTCAACATTACTTTTAGGAACTAGATATATCTGTGTGATGGCTTCTCAGTTTTGAAAAGGGCCACAGAAAGCAGTCTAAGTTCAGGGAGTGAACTTGACACTGGACAGTGCTGAAACTTGCTACATCACACAGCAGCATTTAAAAGTATTTTAAAATGTAAAAGCATTTAGAAGATCCAATTCCACAACAGCTTGTATTATGTCACTTTCAGCCTGCTCTTATTTTAAAACCAAAAAAATCTTTTAAAGTCAGAACTTGTGACACAGGTATTTATGATTTGTCTAATAATACACAATGTATGCCATAGATATCCTCCTGTTCCAGTTTGCTTTCCTGAACCAGAGTGGATCTCCATTTTCCTGATATCGTATCAGTGAATGATGGAAATAACTGCCTTGGATGTCTCACTTAACAAACAGTGACATTAAGTAAGAAATATGTACCCACCTGCAACCCATGCCTTTTGTACCAATCAAGCTAATGAAGACTTTCTTCTCTTTATTGTCTCTCCCTCCAGAAGAAGCAAGGCCAGCAACACTGCCCTTTCCTTCCTGTAGGGGGATTAAAAAATGCTGCAGATGTTACTCTGTGTTGAACTCTATCAAGACTACTACAAAACTTCATAAAGCCAGGATCAAACCCTGCCAACATCAAGATAAGATTCCTTTGCGGTCCTGCTGGAGATGAATGTGAAGTACTGTCATTTCAGCAAAGCTGCATGGCTGAGGTGAAAGACTGAACTTATCTTTCTATTTAGAGAAGATTGTTTAAATAGTCAAACTGTCTTCAGAAAAGGGTGAAGGAAAATTAGAGGAAAGTGATATGGCAAAATAATCACTTAGATGTTCCGTGACAAAAGAGCTGGAAAAATACATGAAAGTACTCGCTATTTAATGAAGTCTTTCTTCCTGAAAGAAAAAGAACTGTAATTGTGGTCTCTCTTTCCACTGCTGCAACCCATAGAAGCCACTTGCATTCATACCTGTCATTCTTTCATTAATATAGCTAAGATAGGCCAAATAATCTATTAAAGATTTATACAATAGAACTATAGGCTGGTAAGGTAATAAGCTCAAGCAAAATAAAGTACCAATTAATGAGTAAAAGATATTTCATTTGTATCCTGCCCTTTCCTTACCTAATGATTTTAGAATCATTTCATATCACAGAAGATGTTTCTCCCAGAACACTTGTAACAAGATATCGCATCACAGAAATACATACAATAACTTCTGTGATAAGGTCAGAGGAGAAAGTGTTTCAGAACCATTACAGATTTCCCAGAAGATATCTTAATAAAATATTGATCTCTTACCCCAGAGTCTGACACAAACTGGTCCACATATTGCCATTTAAGGGGTTCATCTGCTGAACTGGAAAGAAAAAGTAATTTAAAATAACGAGGACAAAAATAATTGTGAATGTATTCAAGAAGCTGCTTTGGAATATGGCCTCCTATTTTGCATCCACAAGTTCCTTTGGATACCATTCACAACAACTGGTTTATTTTCCAGCAATTTAAATGGAACATCAAACAAGTATACAATTGTTTAGGCTAGCAAAGCTCGTCAAACATAAAATTGAGAAAACCTCCTCAAGTGAAACAATTTCGGGAAACTCTAAGAAAGGCTGTGAAAACAATCATAACAACTTGAACAGCTTATGTAAATGTCTATGCACAGAGACGCCTCCCACCATTACCATTTCTCAAACATTGCGCTTAAATTTTCAACTTTTCAACAAAAATTGAAAGAGGACAATAATTTGAAATTTTTCTAAGCTCTGAAGCAATCCTCAACTGTTATGTACATAGAGAAGCAGTGGAGCTCTCTGTTAAGGTAGGTGCATTGATAATGAAATTTCCAGGTATATCCACAAACAATGAGGAAATAGAAATTGGTTCATTTAAGTAGGCAACTGGCATAAGAAATCAGATTCATCAAACAAGACATCTCCCTGTTTATCACAAAGGACATGACATTTTAATCAGCTGCGGAGATGCCCATTCACACATTTTCAAATATACAGATAAACACAGAGGTTCTTTGGATATTGGCTATGTGAAATTTAATAATCTAATTTGTTTTCAAATTAAATACCATTACCTTTTGACAGGTATCATGCCAATATCTGAAAAAGAAAAATACTCTGTTAAGTAGCGCTTTCTACAGATCACCAGCAATCTTTAGTGATGCAGGTGATTTTTTTTATGTTACTTACGTCTTACTTTTATGGACACTATTTTCTTTGTGCGAATGAGGTTTATGACTTCTTCATGTGTGCATGATGAAATGGAATATCCATTGATACGAACTATCTCATCTCCAACCTCAAAAATGAAAGGGAGAAGAAAAAAATAAATCATGAATTAACATTAACAGGTTTTTAATCGATGATGCAATCTAGCAATCATTTTGATACAAGGGTTTGATAATGTCCTAAATACTTTTTGAATTTCAGGTAATGTCCAGATCAGATTTACCTGTAATTGTTTGAACTTAACATTTAACACCAGAAGGGCAGATTAATGGCCAAATAACAATTTTATAAATAATATCTAGTCTCTACACATCAGACTTGTACTCCACATACTACCTTAAACACAAGTGTCTGTATTTCAATTCAAATAATTTTGGAGTGATTTTCTTCCTCTACACTTCAGCAGTTTAAGTTTGCTTCTACCATATGTTCTCCAAGATACCTTAACTATTTTGATGAATAAGAAACTAAACTTTGTCTTATTACCTTGTCTGATTATGAGTTATTTTAATGGCATTTACCTCCATTAAAGGTGCAATTACTCTAATTAATTACAATAGTCATATACTAGCATAATGAATGCTTGTTCTGGGGTGCAGTAGCTTAAGCCTTCTTGGATCATCTACATTAGTTACAAAATTGCATGCTATTCACATGTGACACATTTTCAAGTGTTTCACAGCAGCAACCCATCATATACCATGGTTGAGAAGATGGTATCACCACCCTGCTGTGGCCTTCCCTCTTTTGTATGACATGAAAAAAGTGAGAAAACTTGAGACCAGGACAGAAACACAGAAGGAAGCTCCCACCAGATAGAAGGCAAGTCAATCACTTATTCCCAAGCTTACTCAGGCCTCCATGTGTATGCTATATATATATATATATATATATTTGGGCCCCAGGGGTGACAGGAAGCATAGTCAGCTACAGAACAGACCAAGAACATGCACTCTGAATAGCAGAGACAAAACTAGTGTTATCCCTGAGGCAAATTTAGATGAAGATAACTTGACTGAAGTGAGCAGTAATTTGTGCTCTGTCCTCCACCCTAAAGGATTGGCTCTGGGTTTCTGTACAGATACAGGCCCTCTTTGATTATCTTCCAAATCTATGTGCCTTTTGTCTCACAAATTGGGTATACAATGGACTGTATACCAGAGGTTTTCCACAGAGGTTTCATCTGTTGCGCAGGAAAATATGTAGGGGTTTTACTAATGGAAAAAAACCCAACAGATTAAAAAAAAACCCTAGATAACTAAGTGTATACTAGTGTAAAAGATAAACTTCATTGCCAGTGTGTACCACCTGCCTCAAAACAGTTCAATATTGTTCTGAACAAATCACAGAACATATCACAAAACTCTCGTGAAGGAATGAGAGCAGAAATACAAAACAACTGAACTATCCTCCAGCATCTTTATATTCATATACTGCACCAAAAAGAAGTAACATATCTGGAAGCAAAAGACTGTAAAAACAAATCTACGTGGTGAATTCAATTGATCTCCAAGACTCATTGTCTGATCCAAAACCAGGCCAGCCTTACACAGGAACTACATATGCCCTCATATATTAAGTAAGTATAAAGACCATTCTCTAGCACTGAAGACAATTCCTCCAGAGTAGGGTGGCTCTATGTAACCTGCTCTCTAGGAATCACCCCGGCACATGCTATCACCTGAACTGTGTAGGAATTGATCAACAATGCTTGCTGGCATAGACCAAAGGCCATACTGAGGACCACACTAACATTCAGGAGCAATCAAATGGCAGCACCCCAAGAATATTACCCACCAGTGTTCAATTTACTAGTGTAGAACAGACAGGGTGCCATAAGCTTTCAGCTGCTTCTATAAAATTTCAAATCTTATTTATCAGAATACACAAAAGAACTAATAGAACTAATGTTTATTTGGTGATAAAATGACAGTACATCACCGGAAACTTTTATTTCAAAAGGCTTCCCTTCCTCTAATATAAATCCAAATTTGTTTTGATATGACAAATAGACTAGAAATTTCCACGTTTCTATGAACTCTGCCTAATGATCCCCCTAGCTATGTAGACTGAGAAGGAATCAGTGATGGAAACATTGCCCACTTCAAGGCTGTACCTTATTAGCTGTTCAAGATAACACTGAAAAATGCAAGGCCCTGGCCAGAGCATCATAAGTAAAGACTTTTACCTAACATGAACCACATGACATGGCTGTGTGAAAACTAGTGCATAACTCTCTTCCATTAGGCAATTCAAATCAGTCCTCCGCACAGTAGGATACACAAATGATTACCAGGAAATGGCTCTAACAACAAACCATCAACAATACCCTCTTACAGCTCTGTACGTTGATCTCCACAAGAACACTTTGACTTTAGTGCTCTCCAGTAGCATTTCTTATGAACTACTGTGAATATTTATTATGTAAAATGTATCAAAATGCCACCCTGATAGTTGACAGGACTTTTCTGATTAACATCAACAGCCTAGGATTTTGTTCTTAATCACTGACACTTTGCATGCCTCCTCGCAAATATGTCCACTTTCACAGCAGCATTGTCCCTAGTTAATGATTGCCTAACATGTTCCACTTAAAGACTCAAGTTTCAAGCTGTCAAATTTCAGTTTAGGCTTAAATTTTCCATGCTGGTATCTGCACCTAAAGCAACTAGTTCTAAACAACAAAATTTGGGTGGAATGCATTGTCACACTTATTAAAAAAAAAAAATAAATCTACAATTAACTTTCTTGAGAGGCTCTGTGCTTTCACTTTAGGTTTGGAAAAGGTCCTTATACTACAAATTAAGAGCACAATTTTTACAATCTTAGTGCACATCTTTGTTGACTAAAAAGTTTAGGGGAAGAGGCAGGTTCATCATAACACATTTGGTGAAAGTTAGTTAATAGAAAGAGTCTGGCTATACTAGTTCTGATCTGGGGGGAACTTCCCTTTCATCCACTTGCATTGGGACTGCCCGTGCACCAGCCCCTGGTGCCAAGATCAGTTGTGAACAAGACTTTCAACTGCTGCTGCAAAAGATCAGAAGAATTATTTCTTCCAGAATGCAGGAGGCACAGGAGACTCACCAGGAACAGGAAGGGATAAAAAGCACCATTCAGCCCTAACCACCAAGGTGGTGCAAAAAAAAAAAAAAAAAAAAAAAAGCCATTGTGCAAAACCCACTATCTGCTTACAGAATTCAAGACTTTGTTGTAATATTCACAACAGTATTACAATAAACATTGTAACATTGTAATCTTTAATGCATTTGTTCAGACTGTGCAAGCGATTGACACCTTAGATAACTCTGTGACTCAATTTTATTTTTTTTAATATAACAGTATTTTTTTTTTCTTTTGAGCCAGATACTTCTACTCTCCCCCATAGAAAATTTCCAACTTTACTGTCACTGGAAGGACAGAAGGCAACACCTCCAGTCTTTGTCAGACTGAGGGAGTGATCCACTAAGGCCATACAGACTAAATCATACAGTATATCCACTGTTCTCTCCATCACACAAGTTTGATGTGCCTGAAAAAAAGTGAAGAATTCAGTCTAGCTCACCGAGGACTAGCTTCCTTGTACCTTGCTGATAGTTTTAGGGAAAAAATGGGCACAGCTGGAGACTCCTCATCTGGCACTGCACAGCTCAGCACCAAAAGCCTAAATTTGCATCACCACATTTATGTGAGAGGAGGGAGGGGAACTGCAAGTAGGAATTCCTCAGTATGGCCTATGTCTTAAAGACTGTCACATTAACACACACTGTGACCCTTGGGTGACAGGGCAGTGGGCATGCCATCACCTTCTGCCTTTTTTCATATGTAATAAGTATTATTGAATCTTCCTACTGTGACCTGTTCAGCTAAAAAAAACCACAAAACCAAAAAACAACAAAACAAGAAAGCACCCGCTTATCGTCTTCACTTCTTTCACAAACCTTTCTACTTCTTCTGGGAAGCGCCATATATACTCTGCAATAGCACACAAAACATTAACAACACGTCCACTGTACCAGCATAGCTCATATAGTGCAGTTTCCTCTCCACTGAACTTAGAGATTTTTATCTGATGACACAGCATCAGAAGACTACAAAAGCAAAGAAAACGCAATATGTGACTGTCCTGCAGGAGAGAATACACTTGCAGAGGCAGAACATGACTGTGGTCCCCAGTTCCTAACCAGTGGGACTGCTGCTCCACCTGCTGGACATCCAAAACTCTCACCCAGGGCAATGGCCTGTCTGCAATTTGCAGCAGTCCTGACTGTTTTCGTTTAAGCCAGTCAGATTTTTAACATGATCTTTAATAAGAGTGGAAATAGGTCAGTACTGAAGGCTTTTGAACATACAACCTGTGCTAAAAATGCAGAAAAAAAACAAGGAAACGCACATCGTGTCTACAGTTTAGTGTTGCACCCCTGATAGCTCTTGCTATGAAAGAACACTCACTTAACCAACTTGTTCCAAATGTTCAAAACTACATCCATCCACTCACCCACCCATCCCACAGGCCTGGCAGCCATGCCATTGCACTCCTCTTTCCCCTGCTAAATTCTAAGCTAGCTCCCCACCCCAAACCCAAGAATTTGGTCTAGAGCTGTTCCATTGCCCTCAATGCTTCAGGAAATCCATTTTAAGTAATGCACTTTTTAGGACTGGGATTAGCACTGGAAATGTGACTGTACTGCCAAGAAGCAAAATGGCTCAGAGAAGTCAGACTTGTGTCACTGTGCATAAAGACTCAATATCCTCTACAAGGATAAAGACTCTCAGCCTATTTAGGATTCTGCTGGTTATTCTAAGAAATGGTAAGAAAAGCGAGTCGCCTCTGCTTTTCAAAGGAAGGTTGAGTTCCTCTACAGTAAAATGCTCAGAAAGCTTCCTCCATTCCCATCTCTGGCCTCTCTCTGGATTATTTGCTTGCAAAAATAGCAGAAGTTTGTGTATAACTATTCAGCCTCAAGTATGCAATGTTGACCTCATTTGATCTACCTAGACTCTGCTGCTGATCTCATATTTTTTGGTGGTTGGGGTTTTTTGTTTGTTTTTAATTTAGTTCAAGATCCCTCCTTTACTCACATCTTCCGCATCATGCAGGCTATAACAGACCCTGGAGCCTGGGTTTGCACAAACTCAGCTTTTTAAAGGGGTAACCTAACCTACTGTTATGAACTGCAATGCCATAACACACAGAAACATCCCAGTTTTAGGACTGCAAATGGCAGTGCCATTTGTGAGTGTCCATATAGCTTCTGTATCAGCAGAACTAGTGTTGTTCTGAGGATGTCATCATTCATTAAGCAAGTCACATCTGTTAGTATTATATCATCTCCCTAAGAGGCACACAATTACAAAATTACAAATGCAGCCAAGATCATATTTTATTTTTTCCTCCCATATGAGAATGAGCTTTTCCCTTACAGATATTCTTAATATTCCTCTTTGCTGAGTTTCAGAAATGAAATGAAAATACAGTCTAATACTCTTCACTCATCTGAATGACTTTTCTGTTACTAACTGACAATGTATGACTGAAGGTGCTTTAGAAATACCTGTCCAGGCTAAACTACAGGAGACATAGGCATGTAACAAACTGCTTTCTCTTTAGGACACTTGAACAGCTTTTCTTGCAAAAGAGTGTCCATACACTGAAGTAATTAATAGTTATTTTCATATATTTTGTTACTTTTGTACTGGTATCACTGTATACCAACCTTCTGAATCAGAAGCAGTAGAGATAAAAGTCTGCAGGATTGAGCAGGGTAGAACAGTAACAATTATTTTGTTATTATATATCACTGTTTCCCCTTTCCCTATCAAACAGGGAGATGATGGACTGTCAAAAGAAAAGCTGCAAACCTAATTTTTCCCCAAGTAAAATGCCTATTATTTGTAACTTTTAACATAAGAAATATAATATTTAGTGCTTCCAGGAAATTGAAGCATTTTTACATAACACCACCACTGTTTCAAATTTCTCATTTTGTATACTTCTTCCACGTTCATCACTCATACCAATCTCCAACTCTTTGTATTCAGCAGAATCCCCACAGACATAAGTATCAGAAAGTGGGGGATGGGAGGGGTGGGGAGGGTGGGAAGATGAAGTACATTTCTTCATGAAAGGACAAAACACTTGCCTTCTAGAGAAACTGTAGTTAAAAAAAGGTCAAACTACAAATGCCTCAGTAAGCCTTCAGAATTATTCAATTATTGTAGCATAACTTGGAAACTACTTCAAGGAGAAATCATGCAAAATTAATTTGAATTTTTTAAAAAAGCAGTAGGATGTAAAACTGATGGTATAATAGAAGATCATTATACCTTTCTCAGACAGCATTTTTGGGATAGAAAATGTGTAGAGATTTAGTCAAATAAAGCAGGTGGGTGAAATTTCAGAAGCAGTTGGCTTTACTGTGAGACAGCAATTTAGAACAATGGACTGCCTGTCAGCTCTTGTTATTCAGTGGGGTTCAGAAAGTGCCTGGTGCCACCTATTATGAAGGCACTTTAGGCTGAGCTTTAACAGAACATATGAAAAAACTCAAGTCAGACAGTTACGTGAGCTGTGAAGCACCATCTATTCATATTAATACATACAATCTAACTTTAATAAAGTCATAGTCAGTCTCAAGCATATTTCCCCCTTATTGTCCCTACTTTGTCTGCCCAACTCCAACCACATTCTGAGTTGCAGTACAATTTGCACAAGCCAGCCCAAAGATCCTTTACAATCCCATTTTCTGTCACCAACATGTAGTACAACAGCCTCAGCTACAGAAAGCCAGTACGGCCTTTTTGCATACTGAAAATTGACATCCTTACAGTAGCCCAACAACTGAGCATAACTCCTTATCTATCATGTCAATACATTAGTCTGGAACAAGCAGAGAAGCAGAGCTGCAACACAGCATTAAGATGAACGTACTAGCATGACAGTTTAAGACAGTGGCTATTAAGTCCTTTATTGCTCAGCATCATTAATGCATTCCAGTATTTTCCAGGAGATGTTTTCAAAAGCCATGTAAGTGACTGGTCGTTGTCTTTTTCTCAGTTTTCTAGCAGTGGAGGAAGGATGCAGCTGGAATCTCTCTACTGAGCTGATCACAATCCAAGAACAACTCTCTTGTCTACACTTCCCATTCTCACTGTGCAACATAGCACACAAGGTACACAAGCTTCTGTAGTGCAAACTCTAGGAAGGTACATCGATGTCCTTCTCTGGAGTTATCCACTAGCAAATCCCATACTTAGAAGTAGGCTACCAACACATCCAGCACAGTGTGATGTCCTATGCCATGCTCTCAGTTCTAACTAAATACAGAATTTGTGGGGGCATATTCCCTGAATTTGTGGTTTTGTTGTAAGAAGGAGCTTCTAACAGCATCCAGGGAGCCAGTCACGTGCCTGTCCAGAGCAGGCCGCCAGAAGTTGGGACTAATTCAATAGTGAATCTGAATTAGTGCATGGGATATATAGGTATGAATGCACAAACAAAAGGGCACATCCATGTATGCAGACAGGAATATTTAAATAAATTTTAGAAAGCTCTCAGCATGAATTATACAAACATGGAAACCTAACTTTGACTGCCTTGTTGACAGAGCTTTTTTCTTTTTTTAATCTAAGAGAGTCATGGGGTTACACTGAAACATATCTACAAAACACATTAGTTTAATTAAACACTGTAATGAATCATGCTAGTCTAATACATCTTGAACTAGAATATAATCCTTAAACATCAATACGTCCAGCAACTATTCAGTCGACAAATTGAAATTAGCCAGGCATATCAGCCTTTCTACTCAAACACAGACCTTTAATACACCTTATCAGATTCAAAAGCATACAAAGATGCAGATATTTGCCATAGCAATGGCTCACTTCTCTCTTCACCAAGGTATATACAAGCAAAAAATGACACGTTCAAAAAAACCAAACACCCCAAACTTCATTAATACAAATTGCATAAGTACCAATTTAGAAAAAATGTGTTTCTATACATAATGATTTTTGCCAGCCTTGTTACAGTTCACGTATCTAAAATTCAATCACTGAAAGTGCAATTCCATGCAGTACAAAGGATACTGGAAATGGTTAAAAATAGGTTCTTTCTTTTATGCACTTCCATTGCATAAACCAAAACCCCCAGCATTTATACATGAAGTTCAAATAAACGTTTCATTACACAAATTATATCTGTGCAAGGTGGAATTATCATTCTTAGTATTTATATGCTCTGTTCTACATTTAATCAGAATTTGGCAACTTAAAACACTTTTCCACAGTCTAGTTAGAGATCTTTCTTTCCACCCGCTTACATCTAACTGTTGCTACTCATTAAGTATAAACACTCCAGAAAGTCCTTCTATCTTCAAAAGTTATCATATCCTAAATGCAAAAAAAAGTTTACATATCATGAAAATTGGTGAATAGGAAAATATAATTTTAATGACTTGATTCACCATTGGTATAATGGTATTTAATATGGCACTGGCTTATATATTTTATGAATTTTATTACAAGTGACAAAGAGCTTAGCAATAGCTATTTCTAAATATTAAAGAACAATTCTTACTGGCTGCTTCCCTAACATTGTAGCAAAAGGCTTTCTGCAGACAGCAGCCATTAATATAATTTTATTACCTGAAGTCCGACATTGTCTGCCTGTCCTCCTTTAACTAACTGGGAGATGAAGAGGCCACAGCTAAATTCCACTCCACCTCTCACACTTATTCCAAGTCCTTCAGGATGCGAACGATCCAATCTCACCTCTTTCAGCTTTCTGCAAAAATAGAACATACTTGACTATTCAGCTGCATAACACTTCGTGGCAATAATGTTTCATATGAAGGTTACACATTATTTTTCTCTTATAACATTTAGGCATGAAAAAAAGCAAGCTGACTGAAGTTTGGACAGATGTGTGTTAGCTAAAGCCATCAAGTATTTTTCACAAGAAAAGACATCTGCAACCATTGAAGCTGTCTGCTTCTAACGGGTTAGAGCTACAAGAATTTTTTTTTATTATTAAATGCAGGAAAAATGAGAAAAAGATTGTTTCACCTGGAAAGCATCGCTTTTGACTCCCTTACACTGCTTTTATTAGATTAAGCTGCTTGGCAACCAATTTCAGGTAGCTCAAAATTGTTCTTCTAGCAAACATAGCAAAGGTAAAAAAATTATGCCCAGCTCTACACAGGTGAGTGATATTTTACTTGAAGTTTGTCTGAAAACTCAGTCAGTATTTCCTGTTTGTATTTAACTTAGCTGCATTGTTCTGCATTCTCTTACCGTGATCTTTTGGGTGTAAGCTGATCATATTCCACCTGATGTTTTAATGGGATAAGTGGGCGGATAGCATCAAATAGAGGCAATCTGCTGGGTTCATTAATCACAAGTTTTAGGTCCCCCACAAGCACTGGGAGATTCATAGATCTATAAAAACACAGTGAGAAAACAAGCACAGGTAATCAACACACCAACGCAAAGCATCATTTAATAACTTGCTGTACATGTGGCTTCAATGTTTGCATGCCCCTTCAACCTACTAAAAAAGTTACTTATGCAGATACTGGTTTAACCAAAGCCAAATAGCCTCTGAGAAAGCAAGCCTTCCATAAGCAAAGAATAACAACAACTACCTCCTTCAAAATAACTGAAATCTCCTAAATATTGCCTTTAAGGTCACACACATTACTTTTACAGATGACATCTTTAATTTCAGAGTCCCAAAAAGTTATGGAACTGTTTGGAAATAACTTTCTAGATCAGATATACCTGCCTACCAGATTTTTGTTTCCTTACTAGTTAGCAATCCTTCTAAGTGAATCTAGGTTACAAGCTCCTTCCTCTTCTGAACTTCGGGGACTGACAAATTGTTTTCATCCAGGAAAAAAAATCATGAAGCTCAGTAACTAGAGCAAAGATTTGTTTTAAATTTTAAATTTTTTTTTCCAATCAAAATTGAAGGGCCATCAACCAATAAACAAAATCTACAGAAGTTAAACCACTGTGACCATCTGTCTTATGAGAGCTAGGCAAAGTAGCCTCCTTGATATTGTCAGCACTGAGATAGTTAGAGGTCTAGAAAGTGTACTTTGTTGCCCAGCTGCAAGAGTGGAAGAACAGCTCCCTAAGGTTCAGTGGAGCTATTCCTACACAACCTCCAGTTAAACTTCGGCTATGTTATTTGCTGTTCCCTCTCTTAAAATTTACATTTCCTGGCATACAATATTTCTGAGGCATATGCATTGACAATATGGATCAGGAATGCATATTACATGGGATTGGAGGTCAAATACTTTTAGAAATGCTATTCACAGTGAAGCAGACATTCAACGTTAATTCCAACAGCAATTGCACATATTTTTGCCCTGGAATACTTCATATTGTATTCCAAAAGAGTGATACATCATCAACATATATTCACAGAGATATTGGAAGTTTTGCTCAAGTCATTGCAATTTTGGAAATTGAAGAAAAGTTACTATATGCATTGTTAATTTTGTAACTGCAAGAAGATTTTAAATAATTAAGAGCTACTGAATCAACCAGCTTTCCAAACAACAGGCTTTATGAATGGATTAGCAATTAGACAGACATGAGTGAAACTCAATCAGATATGCAGCTGAATACACCCATAACTATAGCTTAGTGCGAACATCAGATGGAAATGTCTACGTTTCACTCAGCTGAGATGCTATTAATTAAAATATGAATGGAAACAATGTCTGTCAGAGCCACTTGTCTATGATGAGTGGAAAATACATTCTCATCTTCTGTGAAAAACAACGGATCAGACACTGATCTCATTTGCAATGATACAGGTCCTAAGCAATGGTGGTTTAAACCAGTTCAGTAAAAGGATTGGTAACATGCCTAGCACCTTACCATTTTTTTCCCATTATGTCATAATAAGACAGAGTTGTTCACCATGCCAACAGATTCCCAGACTAAATTTTTTCAGCTTTCAGATAAAAAAGTTGCAAAGAATTTTTTACCTGAATAGTTAGCAAGAATCTTTGAAAAGCAAACTCAATGAAAGCCTCTGTTGCAAGTAAGCATTATTTGGAAATATTAATGAATTTGATTAATGCTCTCTTCCTGTTTCCTAAGAACAGTTTTATAATCCAAGTGCTTCCTCCCCGCCCCCAATACGAATCCACCAAATTCTTTTACAAAACTGCCAAGTCATAATTTCTGGGTGATTACAGATATGCTCCTTCTGTGTCTGCAAGCTACACTGTAAAAGGATAAGACTTCATTAAACAAAATAAAAACTATCACTTCAACTGCTTTTCTAGTAGCATGTAGAAAGACCACTTAAAATCTTAATTATTCACTCTTCACATTTAAAAGCATTAGTAAAATTCTACACAGGCATATATAAAGCTAGATCTTACTGGTGGTACATCCGCAGCACATCATAAAGGTAATCCTTTTCCGCTTCATTGTCAATTAGTAGATTAACCTGAAAACCCAAGAATATTGTTCTAAATCTCTGACTAAATAGCCACAAATATTGAACATACAAGTCATTCACAAATTCTTAAGCCATAGAGCAAAGATTTCAATAAGACTTTTTTTTTTTTAAAGATAAACACATTTTTGCAGTAGACTATTACATCACAATGTGAAACTTATAACAAGACTTTCTAAAATTAGCATTACAACAATTGGGCAAGTTGGTAAATACTGATGTATTCTCTATGCTACATTTCCCTCAGCAGTAATATTATTACAATAATATGATATTTGCCTTACCTGATAATCACTGTATTGTTGAATAAATGTTTTCAGAAACCTTTTTGGCCATTCATTAATATAGCACATGCTGTCACAGATAAAACCACCACACTGAGATAATTATAATCTATGTTCTGTCATCCAAACCACTGATTTCAGGATCTCACTTGTAACATTATGCAAACTGCTACACTACTGTTTCTCTTTGCTCCAGCTCTTAACTGACAGAACTTGCTAGTTATTCTTTCCTCCCCCACTAATAGTACATTTACTTAAACCAGTGTCATATTACTATGCCTGCTCTTGGATAATTACAGTAAAATAAAGCAACCCCCCCCCGCCCAAGAATTCTTATATGAGTTCAATTTATATTCAGTGACACCGAGACCCCTGCTGATCTTACTTGGAGTGAGAGGTCACATCACATTACTTTTACATTTGGACAAGCTCAACGTTTAGGAAAACAATTTACATCTGACCTAGAGGCTAATATTACTGTGACGTGAAGTCTGAGGACCAATTTGCATACTTAAAGAAAGGCCCTTTCTTTCTAGAATTGCAATGGTTTGTGTTATATTCTAAACTAAATACACGCTTCATATTCCCTTTGTCCCTTTTGGCTCTCTAAGCCAGCAAGACTCCACATACAGGTGGTTTTCTGTTACGTCTCCTCTGGAAAAAGACACTTTCAAAACACCTAAAGGCCAAAAAGCTACATGCAGGACAAGATTGCTTGACAGCAACACTACTGAGTAAACCAATTTATTCATAGTGAATTTCAAAACACAGAAGAAAAAGTCTGCCTTGAAAGGAAATAAAATGTTTGCAATCAAAACTGACTGGTTCACCAATACTGTACACAGACTCAAGGCAAGGTGATACATGTAAAACTAAGTCCAACATCCATTTTTCCCTTCCCCATCAGGAAAAATACAACATATAAGTCAGCTTTGGTTCTGGTACACAGAACTCAATCCCTAGTGCTAGCTAAGATACAGCAGGAGCAGTGTCTCATGAAGAACATTAAATAAGCGCATCAGCCCTACGCAGCAAAGAGCAAAACCATCATCATTTTTTCTCCTGATTGGGAGAACAGCCGGTAACAACGTTACATTTTCTCCTGATATGCTAGCTGAAAGACACATCTCCCACTCCCTCTCAGGAACTGCAGGGGCATATCTAAATTCTGCCACTTCTTCTCACAAAACATTCAGTCCTGTTTGATTCCTGCACCAGCAACTTGCTGGTACTCTAACAAAAACAAACACCCAAGTAACTTCTTATATATTCAGAATGCTACAGCTAGGTTAATCTTCCTGGGCCATCTCTCTAATTAGGTCATTCTTCTGCTGCTGCCTTCTGTTCCATCAATTATCACTTCATTGTAGCCACCTGCATCTCTTGCCATTTTCATAATTCATTAACTCCTTAGGACAGAGTCTTACTTTAGACATACACTTTACCTCAGCTTATCAACAGCTTCTAAGAGCTCACTCTAATTTCACAAATCCTAAAAGAACATGCCCCCACATGTTAAGAAAAAAAATATTAAAAAATCAGTGGTAACATAATGTAATTTGGATCATAGAAGTATTTTAGTATCTCTCTATTTCTCAAGACAATAACTGTGGAGGTATGGGATAGATGATTTCACAGCTTTTAAACCAAGAATATTAAAAAACCATCTGGACACGGTCCTGGGCAACCTGCTTGAGGTGGCCCTGCTTGAGCAGGGGAGTTGGAGCAGATGACCTCCAGAGGTTACTTCCAACCTCAAACTTTCTGTGATTATTTAAGGGTATCTTCATAGTAGCTGTGTAGTTTACAATCCTAGAACACAAACAGAGAGTTGCTTATGCTCTATTTCTCACTATATAAATTGCACTGTTTTTCATAAAATTAATAAGGAGTCATCACAAAAACTGCACCTACATACAAAAGAAAAATAAAATCTGGCAACACGTCTATATAAGCTTATTCAGCAGAATAGAAGTTGGGGGGGGAGCACTTTTTGGTGCGGAAAATATTCAGATTACAGTAATGCACTACTGTAGCACTAGCCCAATCTGTCAGCTTTCAAAGAATAATATAAAGTTCTATTTAAACTACACAGCCTCTGAAAAACTGAGGGAAATGGAAGAACTGGCCAATATATTTGCATTTATTATATATTTTGCATTGCTGCTTGGTTGATAGGGAGAACTGATTAAAATTACTAAGAAAAAAATAATATGGAAGCAGCAGATAATTGAGGAAACTCAGATCCTGTGGCTGAGCATTTTCACTGTTTCGATACAGAAAAAGTATCCAAGACATTAAACTTGCCACAGAATCCACTAGAAGCAGGATGATACAAAATAAAGAAAAGACCTGTTCCAGTATCCTCTTACTCAGATGAAGTTTTCACTCAGATATGCATCTTACTTATTGCACCAACAAACACTGACAGTAAGTCTTACAGTATTGGGGTGGGACTAGAATGATTTATGAGTTATAGCAGCAGTGAAAGGGAAAAGGTTTAAAGTTCAAGATGGTAACTATTTGCCTAGGAACCAGAGTCTTTATAGATACGTTGTACAACCCAGTGCTGAGTTACACAGTAATAGGTAGCAAGGCAGAAATAACTTTCTAGATGGCTGTAGTCATCACTACAGAGTACCCAGGTCCTTAATGTTTTTGAACTTCAGTTTGCCATACAGGTGTTTTTTTGCAGCCCTTCTACTTCATTTCAACAATTCTTTGACGGTTTTATTACCAGGTGATACTTCTATAAAACAGAACATTGCACTACTTAGAAGAAACTCCATTCCCCAGCTGACCAAAAAAACCCAACGAACCTCCCCTACAAAAAAAAAAAAAAAGGCACCACAAAACAGTACTGAAAACTTTAGTGTGAGAGAGTCTTAAATGGATATGGAAAAACATCTCTTAGATGTGTAAACTATTCCTTCCCCTCCTGTCCTTAAATAGAGCTTTTTGAGCTTACTTTGCTCATAGGATTTTGAGCTCTATTGAGCACTTATTTGACTGGGTAAATGTCAAAATGACGTGCCACGCAGACTGAGCCGCTCCATGTATCAAGTGCATTTGCACATGACTGCACATGCACAATTGCACTCGTGAATGCGAAGGCGGAGCCGAAGTCTTCTGAGCAGCGGCTGGCAGGTCGCAGGACCGCGAATGTGACCCGCCTGGGCCTGGACTTCAGCACCTGCACTTTTGCCATCCCTGAACTGGACTGGGTGCAACATTTTTTACACGACACTAAAATAAAGTTAACTGTAGCAAGCCCTGAAAAAGCTCACGCCCGGGGGAACGTTCTTCCTCTTCTGTCCCTGCCTTTTCAAGGGCTGTAAGTTTTACAATCGCCCTCTCACAGCTGGCTGCCGCCCTCTCTTCCACGCCATTGGGGCGGCAGCGCCAAGCACCCCGAGCTTCCCCCCCTTCCCCGCCGCTCGCTCTGGCACACA